CATTGCGCTATGCCCGCATGAAAAATTCATTGCTGCATTATGACAAGCACTTTTTTAGAAGACCTGAGTGGCAAAGCACAGGAAAGTCGATCTGAATCAGAACTAAGGACTAAAGTACTAAGTATGCCCTTCGAGCGCTTGATTAACGGGACAGGAAGTAAACAATGGAACAAATAAGGACAGCAGTGCAAGTTGCCGCTAGAACGATTGACTGGTCCTCGTTGGAGAGGACTCGGCTCAACTTAGTTCCTGTCTTCTTCGACTTTACAAGCTGGCTCCAACACTTCTTTCTGTCTTAACTTCCAAGTTAACTTCAAGGTCGCGCTCTCGGTCTTCAGCATCACAGCGAGGCTCGCCCTCGCGCGATTCACAGGTTTCACCACCAATGGGCCAACAGCAATCTAAAAAGACAAAGAAGGGAGGAAAGGAGAAGGACGTGGACCATGTGCACGACGATTCTATAGAAGAATCGAATGGTCAAATTCTCCATGGCAGTTTGTCTCGCGCAACAGGGAGTCATCCCAACCACTCCCAAAGTGTTGCCCACGAGTATGATGCAGTCCGAAATAGTGCACCCTCGCTTAATGTACCTAGTTCCGGAGAGTCCAATGGAAGCACCTCAAGACCACCAGGCTCACCAGGTGGTTCACCGGCTATCCTCAGTTCTTCCCCGAACAACCTTTCTACTCCCTCCCTACTCGCGCCAACTTCGACGCCACAACCCTCCACTTTATCAACGAAACCCTCTCCCGCTCCACTCGACATTCCACTCACCCAGACAATCCTCTCGACTTCTATGCCGTCGTCATCCTTCACGCCGGGTTCAGCGGCTAGTAGCTTTCCCTTGAGTGACTCTGCGGGAGGAAAGGTTGGACAGCTCGACATCGACGGTATGATCCAACGCCTTCTTGACGTGGGATATACTGGTAAAGTCAGCAAATCTCTGTGTCTGAAAAACACGGAGATTGCTGCTATTTGCCAAGCGGCGCGCGAGGTATTCCTCAGCCAACCAACCCTCATCGAGTTGTCACCACCAGTAAAGATCGTCGGCGACGTGCATGGGCAATATTCAGATCTCATCCGCCTTTTCGAGATGTGCGGTTTCCCTCCAGCCGCCAACTACCTATTCCTGGGTGACTATGTCGATCGCGGGAAACAGAGTTTAGAGACAATCTTACTGCTCTTGTGCTACAAGATAAAGTACCCAGAGAACTTCTTCCTCTTGCGTGGCAATCATGAATGTGCGAATGTCACAAGAGGTCAGTTGCTTGGCGCCTTATTGTCATGTGATGGTATTCTGACATTTTCCAGTGTACGGCTTCTATGACGAGTGCAAAAGACGATGTAACATAAAGACATGGAAAACATTCATAGACGTCTTCAATTGCCTGCCCATTGCAGCTATTGTCGCCTCCAAGATATTCTGCGTACACGGCGGGCTATCACCTTCGCTTCACTCCATGGAAGATATCAAACGCATACAAAGACCGACCGACGTGCCGGACTACGGGCTACTAAACGATTTGCTATGGTCCGATCCTTCTGATACAGCATTGGATTGGGAGGATAACGAGAGGGGGGTGAGCTACTGTTTTGGGAAAGGGATCATTAATGACTTCCTGGTGCGGTATGACATGGACCTGATATGCAGGGCTCATATGGTCGTTGAGGACGGGTATGAGTTCTGGAACGACCGGACACTGGTGACGGTCTTCAGTGCTCCGAATTATTGTGGAGGTCAGCATAACTCTTATCTTGTCTGTTCGTCCAGGGCTGAAGTGATGTTCTAGAATTCGATAATTACGGTGCTTGTATGAGGTAATTTCCGTCTGTCGGCATTTGGGGGTTCCAATTGATTTGTATTGTTTCAGTGTCTCAGAGGACCTTCTGTGCGCTTTCGAGCTCCTCAAACCTCTGGACGGGCCGGCGCTCCGGAAAGAGATGACGAAGGCTAAACGGAAGAGGTGGGTTATCTCACTCATTCGATATCGCGTATTGACCTCCACGCGTGCCTAGTCTAATGGCGACTGCAACGTGATCATGACATGCCATGCGTAGAACACCAGTGCCACAGGGTCAAGGGTGTGGGTAACCTGTTAATGAACACTGTATATCTTTGGTGTCACTATGTATTGAGACGCAGACACTCGTTGAGATGCCCATGCCACCCTCTCACCACAAACATCACACTACCCCTACCTCTACATCATTCCGTCTAGTCCTGATCTGTTCATTTTGATATCCGAGCGATTTGCCTCACGCGAACACACTCCTTCCTGTCGTACTTCGCATCTCTACCCCTTGCCCTCCTATCTCTCCCTACCCTTTCTTCCGTTTCATATTGTCTCGCTCCCTCTTCAGCTTTCTCCTTTTGGGCCTATTTAAGACGTCGCATATTTCTTTGTGTTTGTGCTATATAATGACATTGCAGCTGAAAATGCTGGCTGCAGTTCTCAGCTGATCAGGAGTTATCACGTTTCATCTCGCCACTTACTACTAGTATGATGTGTTAGCAGGTTGTATATATACTTCCATAGAACACTAAGGTACACGCGTTCTCCTTGAAAATGTACTTCTATTTGGCCAGTTTGAAGGGTCAGATAGCTGACATGGATGGACATCTCATGACACAACAGATCCAATTGGGTGCGACTGGGACCAATGGGACATACCCAAGTGAATTAATGTGATGAAAGGCACCCCTGACAAAGAGCATTCAGCTGGAGAGGATGCTTCTTAAGCATTGTGACTTGCAAACAGTGTTCCCCGAATGATGCAAAGGCACGACTCTAAGATTGCTGAGTGTCAACCAACTTAGTCAAAACTGTCGGCTGCTCAACTGTTATGCAAGGCACTAATACTGAAAGCTCGTGTTTCAATATTGTAGACAGCATTTATATAAGTTATGGGAACTCTAGCAAGTAAGCCACTGTGCTTACAATCTACCTTCAGCTCTAGAACATATCATAAGCAAGTACCGTGAAAGCCCCTACAATCATGCCTGCTCCCAATAGCCCCCAGGCAGTCAACCCGACAGAGTGTAACATTAGATCCGAGATGAGTGTGAGGACGATTGTAAGTAGACTTCCAACGGAAGTAACAATCGGGCCCCAGACTCCCAACAAAATCTAAAAGTGTTGATTAGACAGAGAGCGTGTTGTACGTTTATCATACACACCATGAAGCTTGCATTAAATATAACGCCTGTTATACAGATTCCTACAATTGCAACGAAGGTCACCATGTTGGATGGAAGCGCAAACTCTTCGATGCCGTAATAATGTAACACAGTTAAGGGTACCCAAAGCACGAACAAAGTGCACACGCCCATGGATGCGGTGAGAAAATTAGGATGAAGGCCAAATGGAAGAGCATGTGTGACTTGATTACTGGCGAGGAGTGGTAAAGATACTATCTCCTCATCGCCAGCCGCTGATACTGGGATATGGGAATATTGTGTAGGCTCTGCAGCTGGCTCTAGGTCTGATGGCAGTGCTGCATACTTCTTGTAAAGAACTTGATACAGACCGTATATCACGGATGCAACCAGAGTTAAAATGTCACCAAATAAAGGGGCGGAAGTTTGGGCGACAGTCGTACGGCGAACCACAGGTGCAGTTGTACTTGACGGTGTGCTGTCGCCGTATACGATAGTGAGCACTCCAACAGTGGCGAGGCAAACTGCACACATCCGAATAAGACTCCATTTCAGGTTCAGCAACTTGACACTGAAGACATAAGCGAAGAAGGCATTAGCATTCCAGATGGCCGTGACATCAGTGACGCTGCAGGATGCTTGAGATTAGAAGTGTGAAAAGTAATTAGCGACGTACGGAGCATATACGACAGCAATAAACCACAATAGGGCAGGTATACTGTAGATGACGGTCATGACTAGAATTACGACCAGAAATCGTGACAGAGGAAATCGTGAAGAGTGAACGATTCTTGGATCTCGTAATGTCAACTGAGCGGTGATAATGTTGGACAAGCCAGACATCATAGTACGAGGAGAATGGTGGGTTGTCAGGAGGAGATAGCCTAGGTGCAACGGAAAGGAGAGCGCAAATGATGAATGCACGACATAACTGCGAACTCTGAGTTCGCATCGGCATACCGCGGGGTCATTTGTCTACTCACAACAGAAAAAATGAGTGTTGATAACCCAATGTTGTCTGAACATACTAATTCAATAAGTCAGTAATCGATCGATCTGAAGTAGCTGAACTGAAGCCAATCACCTGTGTGAGTTGGGTCTCTCCAACAAAAGCAAAAATCATTGCAACGAATGTTACCAGCGCAGTCTTTCCGCCTAGACGCGGCGTAACGGGGCTCTCTCTCTCGCACGCCATGATGATAAGGTAAGGTAGGAGTACAGAGATTCAGGAACTTTTCAAAAAAGCGAAGAGATGGATGTCCCGAATAATGGGACCTTCTCACTGCTCCATCTCGCGAATAGAACTTGGAAGTGCTTATAAGTCAGCGATATCCACGCTTGCGAATTTGACGCCGAGCCGTAACTGCAAAGTCTGCACAACACGCTGGTAACTGAGAGAAGTCTCAGAACAGAACAGAACAGAACTATGTAGTACTTGAAAGTAAAATATCTAGCACGTGACCACAGCGTCGTTCCTCACGAACTTGTTTCTGACCTGTATTTCACCATCATGTTGAGAACTTTGCTAGCCTCAAGCAGGCCATTGCTAGCGCGTTTGCGCATCCCTACTCTTCCTCACATACACAAATTCACACCTGCAATTTCATCACCCACGAATGCAATACCGTCCACGGCGCGTGGAATGAAAGTGAGGTCATCTGTGAAGGTTATGTGTGACGGGTGCAGCGTTGTGAAGCGAAAAGGCAGAGTGTATGTCGTGTGTTCGAAAAACCCGAAACACAAGCAGGTGTGTGATTGATCATATCCTCATCCCGACCCTGATTGACTGTCGTATAGCGTCAAGGATAATCATCGTCGAGACTGCGTTTTTGACACGCCAAACCCGGTTTGGTAGAGCGCATGTAGGGGAAGAGGGATCGTTTTTGTCGATATAATGCACAGCTTTCGAAATATTCTACCACCAATGTTATTGACGAAGCCACATCTGGAACTCGTAGCTAACTCCCTTTTCCTCCTGGACCCCTGCTGGCACGTCGAATCCCGTCCATTGCACGAGTTCATCATGAGTTGCCTGCTTCCATTCCGTTTCCCCTTCCTCACTTGCTCCCGAGAAGTCTGGTATAAAAACGTCACATTGAGGAAAATCAGGTGCAAGGATCCGTGTCAAGAGGACACGGTCAGCGATGCAAGACGTCGGACTCGAAGATATAGGGTTTAGTGTCTCTGAGATCAAGGATACTCCACCGATAATAAATCGGCGGTGTATGTCGGCCTGAGATGCCAACTCAACTGCCAGAGTCAAGTTCGAGCAAAGGTGAACTGGAGTTGACGGGTTGGAGGATGTCCTGGTTGTCGCTCTATCAATAAGATGACGAAAAAAGATAGAGAGAAAGTCGTACAGTTCGTAGTCCTCGTTGTGACTGATGACTACATTGAGACGTTTAGAGAGAGGCCTGAAATTGGCTGGTATGCTCTCCCATGTTTTCCGCCCCATGATGATCGCGTTCTTCCGTCCTTCAGGCGCGGTGGATGTGACCCGAGCAAAATAGGCCATCTCTTTCGACAGCCGCCATGGAAGTCCACCATGTTGGCCGATACCATTTGATTTCGTGGCGGCAACGATGATCGTAAGACGTGACATGGTCTCTAGTAGGGAAGACAACGAACCCCGGCCAGTACCGTTGTAAGTAATTGCTAGTAAAGGTTCTGCCAATACCTACATATATCACAACCAAATATCATACGCGGCAACTCTTTCAATCAACTTTCAATTTTCGCTTGTTTTCACGATCCCTCTCAGGCTATGTCAGGGTTTTATTCATGCGCAAGTAGCAGTGGGAGGTCTCGCCTCACTATCCAATCCAACGCTGCATGTTGTAACCTCCGAGTCCCATAGGCCACGGCCCTTCCTTCTGACAGGATAGAAATATGCGTTTTGAATGATATATGCTGACAAGACCCTGATACTTTCGATGCGAGACAATATTCATCCACTTTGAAAGCGTCGATAACATGCAGAGTAACTGATAATACAAGCCAATGATCAAGTTCAATTCCACTTCTTCCACTCACTACCTGCCGGAGGCTTCACTTCGACGTTACCCTTGCTCACTTCCTCCCAGTTTGTGCTAAGGGTAGTTCCTCCACTCTCCTGGAAGCTTTTCATCATTGCGCGTTTGGCGTCATCATCTGCATCTCCGAAGATCTTTTGAAAGAAGGAGTTGACCGTACTGTCACCGCCAACGTTGGGGTCCTCGTCTGTGGTTGCCTCCTTTTCAGATGAGAGAATTTTGGTGGTAAGTTCCTCCCAGTTCTTCTTGGGCTTAGCCCTTGCCTCAGCCACTGCCGGAGAAGTAGCTGGTACAATAGGGGCAGTCTGGAGAGCTAGTGAGCATTAGTACGCATTGAAGAATCTGGGCTACATGGAAGACACGAACGATCAGGAGCGTCACCAGTGATACCTCCCCAGCGGCCTTGAGCCATTTTCACAAGGCGAATTTCGACCTTGACTTTGCCGACCGTGAAATCGCACCTCTCTGGATCAATCCGTCCTTTCAACGGCTCTAAGGATAGCGTCTTCTCGCCATTTGCATAGCTAACCTATAACTTCTTTGAGGACTGTGTCTCCCAGAATCAGTGAGGTTGCTCACCTTGTTTGGCTCAAACGTAAGGGATACCTGTGCAGGATCAGCCCCTCGGTCAAAGATGGAGATCGTCAGTTTTTCGTCTGTCTCATAGAATTCGTGTCTTTATGACATTAGACGAATGTGAAGCGCTAGTGATGTTGGTCTGACCTTAAGGATGCCATGGTTGGGGCGAAGACGCAAGAAATGATGAAGAAGTTACGCGACTCAATGAATGCAGAACTTTCCAGTACAAAAGGGTCACGTGAACTGTCATGAGGGAAAAGAATCAAAAGATCCACAAAAGAGTGAGACTTGACAATTCAAGAATCTGAACTGTGCATCGATCAACTTGTAATCGTTGATGTTTCGAAGATCCTAGAAAAATATATGGAGTCACCCATGTGGATAGCACTCCTGCGATCAAACAGATGATGCATCGACGATGAATGTTTCGTGCACACGATGCGTGCCGACCCTAACTGGAAATCAAAAGAAGGACAAACAGGTGGGGTCCAGACGTCATTTCCCTGACTGCTGTTAGGCAACAGCCTACGATGACCATGTCGTCCGCAATACTACCTAAGGCCGTATTGTACTACAACCCACAATCTGTGTGGTCTTCTGCGGGTAAGCATCGGTCTTTATATTCATGATCAGTGTTGTTGTGTTCTTACTTCAATATATTACTAGTACTTCTTGCACTGTGAGGTCATCGCGAAATAACATATCATGCTATTGATCTACGATTTATCCGCAGGAACGAGAAAGGATACGGAGAGGATGAAGTTGATCTCAGGGTTGTCGACATTAGTACGTCTTGAGTACATCGAAGTGGCTTGAGCATTGGCCAACGTATGCTTGCCATCAGACAAAGGAGAAGAATTTTCCCCAACCTTCCTCAGGTTGAGCCCCAAAGGTGGGATTGGGCACTTTCTGTTTTACAGATCATTTACCACCCCTCAGCAATGGTGCCAACTCTTGTTGCACCCCTCCGCGGCTCTCTCGCATCTGATGTTGCAAGCCGCTTCAAAGCTATCTCTGACACGAAAGTCAGCTGGCCTTCGTTTTGCCAATTTCCTTTCTGCTAACGGAAAGAGCAGGCACTGATCGAGTTCCTGGACAAATCTCGATCCGCATCATCTCACACGCACACTACATCGAGCGCTCCAGCCCCATCGTTGTCCCCTGCGACGGTTGCATTTGCCACTGCATCCAGCAAGATTATTGATTCTATTCAGGCTGATGAGGTCTCTCCCGATCATTTGCAGTACTTGAATGCCCGCGATCAAGCCTCACTTCAAGAACTTGGAAAGTCTCTGGTCCCTATTCTGGAATCTAGACGAGCGGCAATCGTGGAATATCTCACCGAATGTGAACACGAAACCATACGGATGTCTGAAAAGACCAAGGCATTCTGGCGAGAGAAACAAGCGGAGGTGGACACGGCACTGAGCGTGTTTAGCGGGAATGATATTGACGGATACTTATCACGCTCCAGGAATACGTGGGAAATCACAATTCCAGGTGTCCTCACTCGAGTGAACGAAGAGTTCATTGGGCCCTACGCGTTAGGTTCGTCAAGAAGCTACTTTTCTCGGCTTATGATAACATAACGTGAATATAGGCGATCAGGTCTCTATCGCAGATATTCACTTAAGCGCTTGGCTCTCTCACCTTGTCAGACTGGCTGGCGGAAGTCCTTCTGATAATGGAGATGTTGCTATAAAAAGGGTGGAAAAACACATTGGAAATGGATTTGTCTTTCCCGAGGACTTCTTACCTTCGGCTTTTAGCCCATTCACGGAAGAGAAAGCAGTCGCGAGGAGCAAGCTAGCAGCATTTTGGGATGCAATGAAATCACGGTCCAGCTGGAAGAAAGTTTATGCTTCATGAGACATTCGATTTGTATACATACTGGATGATATTCTCAATGATCTCTACTACTTGGCGACCAATGGAATCTCTTTGTATTTCAACCAATTAGCTCGCACGCCAAGTTTGATCGCAGCTGGAGTGGCAGTGTTCCTGCCACACCTATTAGTATCATACCCGACTCAGGACTGTTTACTTTTAACTTTACTTAAGGACGCTCATATCATTTCATACCAAGAAAAAACCAACGCGGGAAGTAACACAACGCTAGCATCCGACAGGGAATCCTAGCTATTGTGTTATCAACGATACACTTTGTTAATTTCGCAGGCCCTCATTTCCTGAGGCTTGGCTTACACGCTCTTTTTCAATGCCATGCCGGGCATTGTGGATTTCTCTGACTCTTCCCAGTCATTTCGAGCACCAACTAATGAAGAGCACCGCGACATTCTCTTGGGAATTGACTATAGGGAGAGTCGTTCGTCTAACCCTCCCTTATCCGAGCGCTATCCCTTCATGGACACTGGATACCCTGATGTAATGCCTGAAAGGTCGTCTTCGGATTCTTCGTCATCTACAACACCCACACCGTCTCGCGCTTCTTCCCCTCTACCATTTTCTCTCCATTCTGCATCTTCATCAGAAACCGAGTCCAACTCACCTCTACTCGGCCTCGGAAGATACACTTCTCCGGGAGAGAGCCGCTGGATTTGGCGTAATCTAGGTTCAAGTTCTCCAAGGAGGCGTAAACGAGATGGAAGAAGGTGGAGAACCTTCAAGGGTATTTTGAGACGTATTGTTAGACACCCGCTATTTCCTCGTCAACCGCTAACCATTGTATGTTTTTCTTTTTGCATCTGCACTTCGTTCCATGTCTGACAATTCGATAAGATACTTGCGCTCCTAGTGTTTACCGTCTTCGCTATTTCTCTCACATTAATTTTGCTCTATGTCCTGAACCCCGACAAGGAAGCTCTACCTTGGAGGGCATATTGCACCATCCCGCCAACAACTTCTGTTCCTCCGCATTATCGTGACACATTGCCATATCCTTACATCAACTCCCTTCCCAAAGTGATGCCACCATCGTTTCCACCGGATGATCTTGATGCACTGCCCCCCGCAGGACTGTTCTTAGCCGTCTTCTCGATGGATTCGTCATTAGAGCGTAGAATGTTGATTAGAACAACGTGGGCAGCACATCCTCGTAGTCGTAATGGCGCAGGAGAAGGAGATGGCGGAATGGGCACCTCGAGAACTGTGGTGCGTTTTGTTCTCGGACAGCCCCGCAAAGGATGGGAAAGACGTATTCAATCAGAGATGGAAAGTAAGTGTATATCATATTGGTCTGTTGCATTACTCTGACACATGCTCTTACGTAGTGTACAACGATATGATAATCTTGCCCTGCTCAGAAAACATGAATTCCGGCAAATCGCATGCCTACTTCACGTGGGCAGCATCGAATGCTTGGGTCCCACCAGTCTACTTCAATACCACGCATCCCATACCGGAGTTCTCTTACTCGAATCAATATACCCCTGCCCCCCGTCTTGCCCCCCATGATCCCTATTTCGCTTGGAAAGACAGTGCCTTGGGTCATCCAAGGCCTTGGGTGCGGCCCGATTATGTGGCTAAAGTCGATGACGATGCTTTCGTTATGTTGGCCGAGCTCGAGGCACGTATGAGACTAGAGCTGTATGCTACAGGGCAGAGGCCATACGGCATGCCCTACATTTCGCCAGACTCGCCATCCTTTAGAGTAGAGGCATCAAAGATGGAACCGCCGACCAGTGCTCCTGCCAATACCTCTACATCATTAATGGTTGAACAGGAGATGCCGCGCGACGGATCAGTGAATGACCCATTGGTTTACTGGGGCTATCTTGTTAAAGAACAGTTTATGGCTGGTGAATTGTATGGTTTGAGCTGGAGTCTTGTCGATTGGGTTTCCAAGGATCCAGGCATCAAAGGTCTTACTAGAGGCGCGGAGGACAAGCAGACGGCCAAATGGATGGGACTGCATCCACGTGCAGCGGAGATTCGTTGGTCAAGCGACCATTGCTGGATATATGATCATCCCCGGTCAGGGACTGTGTGAGTCAACTCCCCCGCCCATTTAACATTCTTGTGCTCATCTTCTTATAGATATTCCCATGGCTTCCTGTTTCCTTCTGAAGTCTCTCGCGTCAAGAAATCTGTTTTAGCATTTCTTGACAAAGTGTCCCGTAATTCATCGACCGGGACGACTGTTGTGACTTCTTCGACGCTTTTATCTTTGTCACACTCAAGTGTTTCGGCATTCGGCACCCGGTATCAGCAGCCCTTACAAGAAATGGACTTGGCTCATAGTGTTGAGGCACTAGTTGAAGGCAGCAATATGTCTGAGCTTCAGGAAGGTGCGGTATCAATTGTCCTCAATAAGCGTGTGTTAAATGTTAGTCGCTGCAGGGAAGTCTATGAACCCGGAGAGAGCATGGCATACCCGCGAGGGACGTATCACACGGTACGAAAACAAGCGTGTTGGCGGAACTGTCGTAGTGCACTTCATCAAAAAGCACATGTGGTTCTTAGAGACTGCGCTCGCTTTTTTGGAAGGCGACAATTTTTCTGAAGCTGAACTCGAGAGTCTCGATGCGGACGAGAGCAGGCTCAACGTGAGCTTGGCGTCAGTATGGACAGACAGTTCGGTTTTCAAGCCGATAAATGCAAGTGCTGCGTTGTGATGGCTATATGTGTGATATGTGGACTGTTTTAGCAGACCCCTTGCTTGTATTTATCGCCCGGGACCATCATATACCACTGCTCGGAGACTACTTGACACCTTTACCACTTGAACGTAAATTTTATTGCATACAATATTATCAAGAAGATGGAAATCGTGATAAGTGTACATTGGGGGTTTCCTTTCACCCCTCGAGGGGTGTTCAATACCCATCCAACGCCAGTGTCTGATGCGCAGGGTGATCATCAGGCATTGTCAAGGGTTGTCTGTCCTGCAGCCTGTTTTGCACTGCTCTTCTGATGGTTCCCTCCCATTGCCTAAACCACTCTCCTTCTCGCATGCCAACGACTTTCGTCCGTCGGCCCGGAGGGTTAGTGAGGGAAGATCCTTGGGCAGTGGCATCCACGGTCTCAAACACATCACGGAAAGGACTCTCCGCATGCACATCGGGAGCAAATTGATTTGCAGTTTGTTCGACGCGCTTCAGCGCATATGCGCCGCCGCAGACATCCCAGCGCCCACCACCGCGTGAGTGGAAACGTTTGAATAGCCATATAAACGGGTATATGAAGGTAATAAAGAGCAAAAACTTGATCCAGCGGTTTGAAAGAGCGCGGGAAAGGCGGTTGTGTGACCGGACAGATACGACATTTTGGGATGTTTCGAACTGGACGGATAAGTCGCCCCGATAGTGGGTAGAATTGATGATGGAAATAGTAGCGACCCTTATGGCCTCAAAGTTCCAACCATAAGCAATCTGTGGATCGAGGATGAGAGCTATGCGAATGAAGTCGCTGAAATATCTACTGACCTTGTTATAATTAAATTCTTTCAAGTACTTGCGGCTGGCACAATAGTCGTCTGCCCACTGGCGTAATGTCCACGATGATCTGAGAACACCGTGAGTTTGCGTGGCATATGATTGGTCCTCTCTCCATGCGTAGTCACTACCGATCCACGGAGGGAACCCCCTGCGAGTGCGCTCAGTGTCCCACGCCTTTGCTGCCTTTCTTTCAGACTTCCATGCCTTCCGTTTCTCCTCAGAAATGCCCACTTCTTGATACATACGCCCCCTATATGCAGGGGTGGAATCGGCATATGACCAGTGGGTTGGCTCTCCGAAAATATACTGTCCGACATCTATACAAAAGTCGAAGTCTGTTATGCTTTCGGTATACTGCTCTGTCTTCATCCTGCTATGTCCATTGTCATGCGAGTGGACCATCCGCGTGTGAGTCTCGTTATGTGACCCTTTGCAACGCAAGATGACGGTGGGTGGCGTTGAGGCCTGTGAGAGTAAGAAACGGTATAGGGCTTCGCCTGAGAGAATTGAGAACGGTTAAGGTGTCAGAAATTGGAGGGCTGCGTACCATCATCGTTAAGATGAGGATCATGAGAGATAATGTCACCAGACCGTGAAGTAAAGAACTGGGCGTCGTAAGGGGCAAAGGCAGGCGGTTCCGCACCGCCTTCCTGCTCAAAAATCAAATTGTCGTTCTGAGGTAAATGCAGAACATGGTCTGCAACACTTTCTTCGAATGTTGGAGGAGGCTGCTGCAAAGATGATGATGCAACCGAAGGGTTGCTGCCTCCAACAGAATCCTGCTTGAACTTGACAGAATCTTCTGCGTCTATAATGAGCATGTCGTAGTCGTCGTCGTCGTCGTCGTCAAAAGCGTAGCCGTGTGGCTAGAACAAGTCTGCATTTTGACAGGCCTGGGCCCGAGTGTAAACGTTGATAGTAAATATTGCACAGCTTGGAGTACATAGCGGTGTTACGTAACGTCATACTTAACGGCAGTGTGTGTGTAAAATGAATCTGCCGCGCTCCAGGAGGTTAACCCTTACAAGGTGTGTCGCCGTCAGGTTTCCGTCCCAGCGCTGACCTTTGTTTACTTGTTATCAGCTTCTATCGGGTTGCACGCGATGATCCTAGAAGCTTCGTCTATTAAGCCACGTCTTTGAGGTCGGCCCTGCAGTGTGAGTCTCGTTCCTAAAAGTTGTCTTCTTCATATTTTCTTCATTTTACTTGTGTGGCAAGAATTCTGCAATTTTTGCCTTTGTTCCTAGAGTCTTGTCAGGAACCTTGTATGATCAGTTCCTGTAGGAAAGACACTCAGGTCTTGATTGGGGTCTTATTGTTTTTCTAATACCATTTCCTGCTAGGCTGAGCCTGCTGCGGCGTTTGGCTTGCAGTGGTGCAAGTCTCCCTTGTCATCGTGCACCATTTTTTGTTCATTCTCCTCCAAACATTGTTTCTGATAAATCATCTCCTTGTTTCACCCCGGTTCGTATTCACAATCTGCCGACGACACGCCTTGGAAAAAATACGACATTAACGCCATATCCCACCCCTGTACTTGGACTCTTCCACCAACTACACTGCGCTCATTCGCTACGCCCACAACTTTTGCCACCTGTGTCACATCTACATTTGGCTCACTTACATCATATGTCTGTTGTGCCTCCATCCGTGACTTCTATAACGTCAATGTCTTCGGATACTTCTTCCTCGTAAGTTTCCCGGCTATCATCCAGGCCCTGTTCCTTGACCCATTGCGCAGTGTCGCGCCCACAACCGCAGCACCCAGCAGTGTGCCACCATCGACTAGTGATTCTTCATTGCCCGCAAGTTCTTCTACGCGCCTGACGACGAGCCCTATCTCGTCCTTGACGTCTACCATGTCTTCCGGTATCGCATCATCGACAACCCCCGCATCATCGCAGTCCCCGATCAGTGCAGATACAAGCACAGTCGCAACGACAACGTCTTCTTCGGCAACTAGTCAATCGACGACGACGACAAGTAGTACCGCCAGCTCATCACAAACGACTTCCTCATCACTCACTACAACCGCTTCATCATCAACGACAACCACTTCATCATCAACGACAACTTTCTCATCACCAACGACCACCTCGCCATTGGCCACAAGTACACCACACACTACTTCCAGTACGCCTTCGCAGACATCAACTTCATCGACATCTGAGCCTTCACCGACGTTGCCTAGCACACCGTCATCGTCGGTCACACCGGTGCCAGTCGTGTTTGTGTGCTCCTTGCGTTTACACGTCGTCTACTGACGCATCCTGTTCACACATTGCAGTACAACGTTGGAAAGTACCTTGTTTATCACTACAACGAATGCTCAAGGACAACCGACAACGACGGCACCCTCTATTGTCACAGAAGTTACCATTTCCACAAACAGCGCAGGAGCTGCTACGACTATCACAGTAGCATTTGCAAACCCCACCCTTGCGCCTGACAATGGGACATCATCGGGTTCCGCGTTAGTTCCACCACTTATCAGTCATTATTTATGCTTATAATAATATAACAGGTTCTTCAGGAACACCGGCGCCGTAGTCGGTGTCTTCCTTGTGGTTGGATTGGCTGCTGCATCCATCGTACTCTGGATCTTCTTTTTCATACGGCGTAAGCGTCGTATCAGTCGAATTGACCATGAGACCGAAGTGGAGGCGGCTGTTGCTGCCTCGGGCTTTGGTCGAGCTCCTTTGGATGATGACAATGATTACCGAAGTGCCCGGTCGCCACAATCACATTCTCTGTCCTCGACACAGATGGTGCAGCGTGGGAGCCCCGTTGGTTATATTCCCGACGGTTCTGGCTTGCCCAATTCCGGTCAGCTAATTTCAGGGGGGCCATTCGATGACGATAATGTCGCATTCAATCCCTACGCGGGCTACATAGTCGAAGGTCTACCAACAAGTGGAGGGTATATTCAAGCTCGCAGTGCTAGCCCTCCTCCGGAAGCTGAACAGCAAGGGCCTCCTAGTAGTGCAGGATTGCATGACATTGGTGATTCTTCCCGGGATCGAAAAAGCTCCTATGGCCATACCCCTACTTATAGCGTTGCAAGCTACGAGCCGCTACTAGCCGCGTATACGCAAGGATCCTCTGCGGAGCGGGGTGCCGGTTCACCACCCACGCCACCCCCAAGGAACCCAGCACGACGTGCGCACCTCGACAGTGTCGCTTCCCGCCCTACAAATAATTTATCAGACGGAGGTGCCGATGATAGGTTGGATCCTGAAATTCGGAGGCGGACCAGGTCGGATAGCCTTGGCTCAGACGACCTCAAGGATGAAGAAGACTACAGCCGGCCGGTGCTCACCGTAAGGTCTTCAATTTTTTATTCTTGACGCCATACTCAAATATCACAGGTCCGCAATATGCCTGATGGTCGCAGTATAAATTCTGCGTTATGACGAACAGTGTGTTCGCGTCTGGGTTTTACTTCCCTCCGATTTGACTGTTGTGTCCGAAACAATCTGGACTATTTACTGATTTGTTGAGCAGATCACAATCATCCTCATCCTTTCTGACACTCGTACATACTGCAACCGCATTCTGTATATCACCACAAATCATGGACATACACGGACGAATGTTGCTCTCACAAAATTCATACTTAGTCTTCAATCTACTCCCGTTCAATGTTTGTGTTACGTCGTTCCATCATGTGGTGCTACATCTCCGGCATGCTTTCCGTGACTCCTTAAGACCCCATGTATCCCGTGGTGCATCTATTTGCAGACAGTTATCATACCTCATTATTATCTCACGTCACTGGGCAGAATTCTCTCAGGCTGCCATCACCCATACTGGTCGACTTCTCTCGGAACTCCTATGGATCATGATGTATGAGGTATAACTCCTCGATTGCCTCTTATTCCGTTGTACTTACGTTGCCCATACATGAGTCAGGTCCCTATATACGATACCCCAATACTCGGCATGGCTACGCGTCCCAGACTTTCAAAGGCTACTGAATATGGCAACGTAGCCAACTTCTGGGTTGAATATCCCTCGGGTCTTATAGACCTCACGCGTTCGCAGCATCTCACGGCTGATAGGGTGGAACCATCCTTGGTGAGCTCGACACAGCTCGACATCCCTGTGACTGGCGACCGTACCATTCGCGTCGACAAGTCCAAGGCAGCTGTGGTGATAATTGATATGCAGAAGTAATATACTATCCCATTGTTTGCTTGAATGACAAATTGATGATGGACAGCTTCTTCCTGCATCCCGAACTCAGAGTGCATAAAACCGGCTTGGCGTGCGTTGACCCGCTTTTGAAGGTTATCGGCCCTCTTCGAAAGCAAGGAGTGAAGATACTTTGGGTGTACGTCATATCATTTTTGCATCAGTTATTGTTCACCCAACCGTAAAATAGGAATTGGGGCCTCACTGATCAAGAGCTGAAGACCCTCCCCCCTGCTGTGGTCAGGGGATTCATGAAAGGAGGGTTAGGAGGGTTTGGCGCTGAAATGCCTGGCAATTTTGGCAGATTGCTCATGCGAGATGCTCGAAATTCGGAGTTGTATGGCCCTTTGCAAGAAGAGTATTTAAAAGGAGAGAAAGAGGGAACCGACGTTTGGATTCACAAGAATAGGTCCGTTTCCTCGAATATACTCCCAGTTTGTACTGAGTTTTGACTGGGAGTGCAGGATGAGTGGGATATGGGGACATCAAACAGCGTTGGACCTCTATTTGAAGGAGAATGGAATTACAACATTATTTTTTGGAGGTGTGAACGCCGACCAGGTGGGATTTCAACTTAGCTTCATACTTTCTTGCTGCTGAAGTTGACGCAGTGCGTTTCCGGTACCTTCATCGACGCCTATTTCCAAGGCTACGATTGTGTTATGGTCGAGGATATCACGGCGACAACTTCTCCAGCTGGCGGTCTTGAGAACGTCTTACACAACGCTGCAAACGTGAGCATCCGGTGTTGTGATGGATTCGGAACTAATCAAATAGAGGACAGTCTCAAGGTTTCGTTACCAATACGTCCAACATCATCAATGCGAGCGGCTGATTTATTTCCATCGCTCACTTTGTTGAATTATGCTATGTTATCTACCTATCATACAAGCTTAATGGCTACAAATTTATGCTCTTCTCGTCCTCTCAGGATTGTCCATGGCACCATGTGTCCACACGCATGATTCGTAGTCTTTCACTGGCAAAGGACAGAACTACGAAAGACGATAGCCACAATATGTACTTGAGGGGCAAAATTATGGCAGTTGTTGGCTTCCAAGTGAGTATCAGTCAGACACTAAATATCAATGGCAAAATGAAATCAGAACATGATATCGCGTTACGAAGTCTAAACATTCAAATAAATAAGACCTCCCTGTCATCAAACCCTACATCCACTCGCAGTACACCTCTCTCTAACAATCTATCCAGTCTCTGATTGACAATCCCGCCCATCCTTCCATCGCCTTCATTTGCTACTACAACAAGTACATCTTCCAGGGTTGTCCATGGCCTTCCGTCTAATACATGAGCTAGCCCTTCGAAGTCCATCGAGGAAAGGGCGTGCAGATCAGCGGGATACAATGCGAGCGAAAGAGCTCGCAACGGTGCGCGTACACCATCGAGGAGGGCAGTGAGTGGCATCAACTGCGGTGGCAGCCGCGTGGGAGGTTGGAAGTTTGATGGATCTGAGGGTGGCAAGGAGGGAATAATGAGTCCATACACATGCATCTCTCTCAAAAAATTGTTATGGCTGAGGTCAATGTGTGATACAACCTCGTCTGCGCTACGTGAGTCCTGGCCTTTCGTTCTTAGGAAATAGTTCTCACCTCCATTGTCTATGAATGCAGCATCGAATCCGAGATGGAGCTCTTTCAAGCTTGTGCCCAGCGTCTTCAAGAACTTCCCCACTGCTGGGGCACTCTTGGCACCCAACGCTCCGAGTCTCAGTACTTCCACTGTCACCCGCCCTCCATCGTGCTTCATCGCCACCCTCATCCATTTCAACACATGTCTGGTATGTGCTCCCCGCATCGCGAGCTCCCTAAGTCTTCTCGGTGGCTTAGGAATCGTTCTATCGTCGGCTCTAGACACAAACACCTCCGAGTCCACAGGTATATCATCCCACTCGCAGTGCACCCGGTCCAGTGCGAGCGCTTCTACATCTTCAAACTCTCCGATAACCCTGATCATATCCAGCGTCGTCCTGAACTCGCATACGTGCAGCGAAAGTTTCCGAACACCTTTGAACCCTTTTATAAAAGCATCCCGAGACTTAGATGACAGGTACTCCCAGGTGATGCGCTCGGCTTCGAGAGAGTGGAGATTGACGAGCGAGCCAGCTAGGGTTGGCAAGACGGCGTTAAGCCATTTCGGGCCCCACGATAAACCTCCCCGCGATTCACGAATGAAGAGGTGTTTGACGTGCGGAACAAAACTCGGAAGGGTGGATTCATGCCCTGAGGTGTAATGTTGAAGTAGCTCAATGAAAGTATTTCCTCTTCGTCCGCCTCCGAGTCGCACGTGTCTCCATAAATGATCCCGGGCTGCGTATAGCCAAAATTTGCTCACAAGGGAGCAATTGCAGATTTCTGCGAGATTGGACTGGTCGTGGATGTCCGTTATGGTGGGCGTGTCTGGAACAGCAAGGAACGAGACGATATGCAAGAAAAGCTCTGGTGGAATACGCGGGGAAGAAGTTACACGAGATGTACTCTTCGTGGAGACGCGGTGTTGGAAGGTGGATGATACTGGGCTCGGGAGGGGCAGTATCGGGGAGAGATCCGGAAACGCAGGTGATTGTGGGGACTTCCAAGAATGCAGCAGCGTGGTCGGGGAGGTGATTATCGACAACGAAGGTGACTGCAGGTGCAATCCAGGAACGGTGGTGATCAATGTAATTGCCATGGTCGAAATTGAGAAGCTAGATAGTGAGGTTTGCAGATCAGCCCGGCGTCTAATGGGCGATCAGAAGGGGTATCTGTGCGCAAGTACTGTTGTGGACCAGCCAAGCAACCCAATCCTAGTGAGAAGCTTATCTGGGGAAAGATGCAAGGCACGATAACAGAGACAGAAACAAAAAAGCATGTTTATACCACGTCGAGCCGTAAGACACAGCATCCTTCACAAAAGACTTTCCCATATTGGTTCGCCTCCAAGTCCTGCTGCACAAGCTAGTAGAGGCTAGTAGCTTGGTTACAGCCATAGCAGCAGGTTTAGGGGAGAAAATTTTCTCCTCCATATCGGGTTACACCTGTTGCGCCAGGTTACGCCCTAGTACATGTTCCTTAGCACGTGCCATCCGCCAATAAGAGCGGAGGTAACAAGACTAGGTTATTCGAGTTAATGCACTGTCAGGTTGAAGTGTGTCGTTTGGAAATAGGACCGCGTCAGCATAATCACCCCCAGCAAAGCATACAACTTGAAGATCATGGAAAATTGCAATCTGTCCAAAATGGAGCGCACCAATCAGATTCACTCTGGCAGTCTGTGGCCTTATGCCCATCTTTCACAGCAAATGCATACATTGAACTGTGAGATGCACAAGAGATGGCTGCATCTTCGCTTCTTAAATGTTGCAAAGTTACATTTAGCTCGATTAGAAAGCGCACCAAAGGCATTAGAGTAAAAAACCTACCTGCCAGCTCGATTCATCTAGACACCGAAAACCATGATTCGAGCCTGCTCTGGTAGATAGACTGCGCCGAAAAGGACGGGTAACTCAACTTCGACACAACAACAGCGATGCACACTGCCAAGGCGTCAGTACGGGGCAAGCACTGGTAGTGGCAAGTGCGGCATTGTGATTCATATGTTTTGCCAGAGAGGCGATGCGTGGCAAGTTACAACTCCGGTGTTCGTGGCATTGCAATGGGAGACGTGGCTTATCCATAAGGAGAGAGAGCCCGAAGATTGAAACTTGAGTAGGAGAAAGGGTTCTGAAATCAAATTCAGCACTCATGCGAATAGACGGCATCTGTGGTAAGGTAAGAATGCAGCGCACCCGGGCCAAAGTTACTTTTACCACGATACAAGCCAGCGTGCAACGTAGTCTGCCAAATTTTCCATCTACATTTCCACTAAAATTGAAATCGCTGTGCAAGACCGGCAGAAGCGCTCCTGATTGGCATATGGAGGCCAGATGAATAGTAGACTAGCAGTGATCCGACGGCGGCTATCGTTACGGTATTATTGACAACTTAGTCGTAGCCTGCGGACACCGGCAACCATAGGTGTGAGTACACGATGAAGCTAAATTGTCCCGTTCCCTGCAAACGGTACCCGGAAAAGTGTTAACCACTTCGAGCATTTCTCGTGCTACACACTACTGCTAGTTGACACAGCAGGCATCTCCAAAAAAACAGCTGAACTCACGGTGGTTTCCGCATCGGAGTCGGCCACGAGCCTAGCGTGTGTCGAACGCTAAGGATCGGATGTGATGATCCCAGCACAAAAATGTGGATGAACGTAAAAGAACGCCAAAAGAAACACGATCTTCCATGGAATTTAAGTCCTATAGAATGATGGACTGTAGTCAGTTATACATGTTGCAGGAGTCAGTGACAGATCGGCATACCGCTGACAGTATTGGAGACAAATAAATGAGATGGATGCAAGAACCAAAGCTAGTATCCGCGGAACTTCAGCAGAAAAAGAGAACCACATTTACATTTGAGCTCACCTTGCAAAGTAAACTATGTGACTCTTCATCAACGCCATGAAACAGTCCCCGATAATCCACCCTTTCGATAGTCGTTGCATTTTACGAAAGTGTTTTTGACAGCAATCCAAACTGTGAGACAGTGAGGACCTCCCATGCAGTTGTGAGCATCGAAGTCATAGAAAACAGATATAGATCATCCTCCTCAAAGGTTATAGTTATCGGTCTGATAGGTACCGGACAGAATGAGTACTTCTGCTGAGCTCGTCGATGAATCTGATGCACCGAAGTCTTTCATCCGTGAATGAAGCTTACCCTTTGAGATGTGAATAATTGATATCGCGGTGATCACTCCGGTGGCAATCTTGACAGCCAAGAAGACAAGAACGAGAAAGGTCAGCATTTTTGTGAATCCCTGATGTGCCGAAGGATCATGATGACTTGCATGATGTTTCAATTAAGTCACAATGACCGAGGTGTCGCGTCATAACTCACTGCAAATACAACGATATTCATCCAATTTCGTATGATGGTCATTATCTTGCCTGACAATTCAGTTGGGCATAAATGGCGGGCATTGGTGGAGGGAACTCACGACATATGTCACAAAGATCGTGGGGACATTTAATGTATGCAGCCGGTCAGTAGAAACGTGGAGCATGCCACAAGGAGATCTACCCGATATACTGATGGGCTGATTGTGAGATATGGCTGATTAGCAAATCGATTGCTTAGCCTTTCAAACATACATACACAGAATATGATATTCCAAGATAGCACGCCTAGCAGGATACTGTCAAGTTAGCATAACTTGCAAACCATATTTATAACGTGCGCAATTAGGCTACAAATACCCAGATACATAACGGTTATGAGGGACCGGCGTTGTCCCTGCCACAGATGAATTATAGTTTACGTTGTTCTGCTGATGCATGACTCTGCTTGCTCAGACCAGTTCAACCTACAAAATCGTTCAGCGAGATGGCTGCTCCAGTGGTGGGATCGACCTACCTCTTATCCAAATGTTAATGCTGGCAATAAGGATGTTAGCGGTTCCTGAATCCTACGTATCTTACTCACTATAAGGGTACATCACCATAGCAGAGGGAGTAACTGCGAAACAGCAGTCAAAGTTAGTTTGAGAAATTACCCCTGCTTGATGGCTAGCCACCAACTGGGGGTAGGATTTGAAACCATCAGTAAAACTCGAAACCACTAAGTTTTGTAATGTAATTAAAGGTCGTAGTTGACTGATACCCCATCTGTGTACCGGTCTGCTGAAACGCTGTGACTGTCGCTGCTGCGCATGCTATGAAAAAAATTACGTCCTGGATCAAGTCGAGGATTTGAGGCGTGCAGGCCGACTCCACTGGCACTTAGTAGTCCTCGAGATCCTCTCGCATAACCTCGCAGGAATAATCGATATTTAACGCAGTGATCGGAATCATCTCCAAACGATCATTATTGGCATAGAATCGTTGAAAGTCTGTCTTTCACAACTTTGAAGGAGAGTGGAACGCCGATGTGTATTCAAGATTCATCCAAAGGAACCAGCGACTGTAAGTATATCACATACCCTGGTGAGTAACCATAAGTGCTCACCTATTCCATATCTCACTGCCGGGCACAGTACTTGCTCATGACTCGGAATCAAAGATTCGAGAGGAGCCGTGACTCCGCTCTGGCAGCCACTGCGGCATGACGGGCCTGAAATTCGGCCCGGATTCCAATATTCTAGCTGAAAGCTTCCGAGTCCACATCAGACGCACAAGCTACTCAAGAATCTCACGTGCTCACCCTACATTCAAGTTGCAAATGGTGGGTATCGGGTACAGAATAATTACTGACGCAGCGGTCCATGTGTCAAATATGCCGCTGACGAGACAACCCCCTCCGACAAATCTTCGTAGGTCTTTAGTGGGTATTTGTGGACAAAGTCACGGTTGCATGCTATAGAGCCTCACATGGTGTTGGGGATACTATATCACATTGATAACGAACCTTCTACGCGTGAAACATATAACTATCCATGACGATGAGATAACAACAATGATGATGAATAACTATGGGAATAGATGGGAGATATGAAGCATCCACCATTACATATTAGATGCTGTGAATCAGTAAAACGCAAGGGTGAAATGATGTACAGCGTTTGAGTATTAGAATATGTGATCGAAAACATAACAAAAGACTGGTATCCAAAGAGATAGCACCAGGCGTACGACCACATACGCAGGGAACGAGCTTGACAAAAGTGGCACTCTAACCCGAACAGTCCATTATCGATACTTAACAACATTTGCCCGAGGGTGCCCAATTTTTGAATCGGAGCCTATCCGAGCGTCGCCTTCGAGCTCCACTAAGACTGCCAAAGCTAAGATGGCTAGAACTGGTCACTCTTCGAAGGGCACGGTCCCCATAGCTGACACCGCTCCCGGGTTTCTCGGGATCTAAGATTCCTGACTCTATTGAAAGCAGGATAGACCTTGCAGCAAGTAGAAATGGAGCTTCGATGTTGTCGCCACTTAATGAAGAAGCCTCGAGAAAGTGAACATCTTTTGACAGCGTCAATATATGGAAGGCCAGAGGAACGATGGATTACCATTCTGCGCTGCCCATCTACTAGCTTCAGCCCACTCCACTTCACGGTCCTCCTCCCTGTCCGACTTATTTCCAACCAGGACTGCAACTAAATGCGGGCTTGCTAAAGCTCTGGCATCAGTGAGCCACTGGGACATATTCAAAAAAGAATCGCGGCTGTCAGTAAAAACTATGAGGATCGTGGCAGCGAATAAGAACGAATACACCAACTTCGTGATATCGTATACAAGAATTACGCCAGCCGCACCACGGTAGTAGCTACGCGTTACTGATCTGTTCCCCGTACTGCAGTCAGAATTGGAGCAAGTCGCATCGAAAGCACGACGAACCGAAAGCGCTCCTGACCGGCAGTGTCCCATAGCTGTGGAAACTGTAAGGGATGCGGAGTCACTGAAAGACATAGCTTACTTGAAGCTTTATCCTCTTCTCCCCTAACGTTACTGTTTTACTAGAGAACTCTACTCCGATGGTATGTTGAGAGTGGTCCTTGACTGTGAGGAGGCCTGAGACTGACACCCCATAGAGAAACAGACGACAAACATGCGTTGTGGGTAAAGTGGTGCAACAAACATGATTTGCCTGTCCCTGCCTCTCCTGCAAGTGCAATGAGTCTTGCTCCAAAATAACCGTTCCCGGTAAGCGCAACACACCGATGATAATGTACTTCATTAAGAAATCTGAAAGTTGATGAGCACGAATCTGATTCAACAGAACATCCAAAACAAACCGTAAGTTTCCAAAAGTTCCGTAGCATCTACATCATACTCGTCTAGCGCCATAGGGTGAGGAATAGGGTGTCGGTTTAGGTGCCAATTCGTGAAGCTTCCGCCAACTGCAGAGAGGCTTACAAAGTTCGCACGGTCTCAACATGGACGTTCAACTTATATCTTCAATTACATAATACATGAGTTTAAGTCTAGTATATATTTGTCACGGCCCTCCGGGCAAGCCACCGGCCGGGATCCGTCATTTCTTTACATTCAAACTGATTTACATCATATTCATTTCATGGCTGCTACATAAAATTTATCTCTTACCAATGTCTTCCACTGTGTCGTCTTCGGCTACATGACCATACATATAATTTCAAGCAGCAACGAAAAGGAAGAAATCGGCCTTTGCTTCACTTACTCCTGGACATTCACGACCTCCGAGCGATCATAAGACGAGAGGTAAATCATTTTTGTGACAGTTGTGCTCTCTAAGGTTTGTTCTTTTTCGACCTCCCAATGGTATGTGTTATGCCTAGCTGTCTGTGGACAATTCACGCTCGCTACAGTCACACATACGGAACGGTTCTGTGGATATAAGAAATCGTTGGACCAGTACCCTTTCAGGGTCCTAGAACTACCAGCCCTTCCATGGGACCCAGACGTCAACCACTTTGTCACCTCCTTCACCCGAATCGACGATGTAGTACCACGGGTGAGCAGCGGCTATCAAACAAGCGTGCTGCCCAACAATCTCGATAGTATCTCCGATCTTCAACGTAGGATCTGTGCGACCTGACTCTAGGTCTGGGGGAACTTGCACCAATATACCATGCTCCTGTGAAATTCTTCCCAACTTCCATGACTTGCCAACGACCTCCCCGAAACCTGGAATACGACCCGTGTCTTTGCTCATAGCTATGGCACCAGCATCGCACATGGCCTCGTCTTGCCCGTCACTTCCTCTTCCGGGGTAGTATGAAATGACGGTGACCAAGACCTTCTGGGAGATCTGTGGACGGCCGATCAAGGTTGTGTGTAGCTGCTGGAGATCGAGCATGGTGTAATTTCCTGTACGAAGCACTTTATACCACGCCAAATCCCTTCTTGTTGAAATTCGCTTACCTGTATGAAGCTCCAGTGTTCCATTGAGTATGGATGTCATCTTCAGCTTGGCTTCCGCGGTTGCGCTGAGAGCAGTCGGAGTGGATCCCACGGACAGGACGAATGGCTGATTGTTGACCTCTCTGCTATCTGACTCTGCCAGAACTTCCATGGCCATGGCCGCCGCGTCATTGGTAAGACGCACTTCCCCTGTTAAATACGAGGTAGCTTCCTCCGCTGATGTCGATTCCATACGAGTATCCGGCGTGGGTGTAAAATCCAAACACCGAAATTGCTGAAGATGCAAACACCCTCCGCATGAATGCCTTGAAAGACACGGGCTCTGGAAGTATCCCGGCTCGCCTATGTTTGTGAGTAATATATCAGTGATATTCAGAGAACACACTTTAGACCGCCATTCATCTTGATAAACGCAGACCATTTCTTCGGGTGCTCTTGTTTCCTCTCGTATTCTTCCAGAAATTTCACTTGATCTAAATGATCTAAGAGAATACGGACGGTTCCCCCGTATTTTGTCATCTCAGCATGTAGAGCAGACAGATCATCCAACTTGTTCAATCCAACTGGAAGGCCGTACAGAATCTAAAAAATGAGTGAGAGTCGGAACAATTTTACATGCCTCTGGACTGACATCTTTGACTGTACCGTCCGCTACGAGACCACCTTGCACGACTCCCCAAGCTTCCATGAGTGTCGATACAACGACCGCGGAAGCTCTGCCGGTATCCGAAACTAGCTGCAATTTCGTTCCTTCGACTGTCTGATGGAAGCCATCACAGTCAATTTCATCTGTGCTTAACCTCTCTTACCTTGTGTGTCTTCAAGTGTGCCCTAAAAGTTGCTCCCCAGTTTCTGGCATTCTCGTGCATCTTCCTGCAGTTCTCTGCGAACACCGCGCGGTCCACGATGAAGGCGGGTGTTCTCAAAGCATTGAGTGGTTTTCCCACAAAATCAGCAACTAATGCATCTTTATTGGGGTTAAGAAAGTGCATTGGCGTGGTAGTCTGCAGTATGGGTGACATGATCTTTGCGGGGAGGTTGGTTGTCAATAACCCGCCGATAGAATTTGCTTATAACTGTACAATGTAAGCTGCTTCTCTCCAAAATCTATAACGTGTCCACCTCGTGACGATGTGGCTGCAACTGCCTTTTGTATCTATCATTTGTGCACATTACGTGGCAAACTTTTCATTCGCTTTCAATGGAGGCTTTACAAGCTCCGCCGTGACGGTATTTACGATTAGTGTATACTATTAACAGTTCTTCATATCTACGGAATTCCGTCGTATGTCCTGGTGACCTTACAAGATCGGTCCGCTCTGACCGAGGTTAATCGTCCAACCTTTACATAGAGAAGATGATCTGGAAAACTGTTTGTCACTTTGAAAGAAGCCTCCGAGTTCGAATCTATTGTTTCAGTTGTTGAAATGGCAGCTCCGCAAGCAATTGACCCAGACATCCTTCCTCGTCTCGATCCCGAGTACGTTGCCTTCCATAATAAATATGTTGCTCATCTCGTTCCCCCTCACTCTCTACCTTGGGATCCCGCCATCCGTAAGGGTGACACCGTACCAGGAAGCGCAGAGGTCTTGTCAGTCGGCAGTGTTCAAGACTATGACTTGACCCACTGTAAGGTACGCGTCTTTACGCCGGAGGGCACTCCTCCCCCTGACGGCTGGCCTGCATACGTCTGGTACCACGGTGGTGAGTTTGAGGCACTTTTCAATTTCAGTGACATTGAAGCAGTGCTATAAGGTGGATGGACCCTCGGAAACATTAGCTCAGAAAACGCTTTCTGCTCTCGGCTCTGCAAAGGTAAAATTATGAGGTGTCAAAACACATCAAGCATTGTATGCTTATCGCTAGCTTGTAGGAGCGAAGTGTGTTGTAGCATCACCAGACTATCGCCTTGCGCCAGAGCATCCTTACCCCGCCGCAGTGGAAGATTCATTTGAAACGCTGCAATGGGTCTTTGAGCAGGGAAAATCCCTCTTAGGAGTCGATCCTACGAGACTGGCGATTGGTGGTTCATCTGCGTAGGTGATTATCACCTAATGTATCGAAATTGAACTGACCACTCTTTATGTAGTGGCGGTAATCTTGCTGCCATAATCTCCATGAAGGCTGCCGAGCTTAAACCACCTATCCATCTGAAGCTTGCACAGCTCATTGTTCCGGTGACCGACAACACTGCTCTCCACACGGACGATCGGTACCCATCTTGGAAGGAGAACGCAAATACAGTCTGGCTCAATACAGGGAGGATGCTCTGGTTCCGTAATTTCTACATTCCAAAAGAGTTAGAAAGGACCGAGTGGGACAACTCTCCAATCTTTGCGCCCGATGAACTGCTAGCCAAATCTCCAAAGACCTGGATCGCGGTGATGGAACTTGACATTCTTAGAGACGAAGGCCTGGCATACGGCGAACGACTTAAGAAAGTTGGTGTGCCAGTCTCACACAAGGTGTATGCGAAGGCACCGCATCAGATTTTGGCTATGGATGGTATGCTTCCTCATATTGTTATCATACGAATTGATTAGCTGATCATGTTTATCCGGCTTTTGTCTATAAGGGTAAGTCACAAGAGTTCATTCTTATTTAACGTTCTTCTCATCCACTCTTCAGTGTTTTGAGTGTCGGTCGCGAGCTCGTGAGTGATGCTGTCGAGAACCTTGCCGAAGCCTTTGGTACATTGTGAATCAATGGAGTTGCGAGTATTTTGTACTAAGTAAAGTTGGCCAATTGGGCTGAATGTGATAACGAGGATGTGGCCGCTTTTTTCGTCCAAGCCTGTGCTATAGGTACTACTGTCATCTAGGTCTTTCCTACTGCTCAAGGCGAATATTATTGGTGTGCTACCCCTGTTCGAACAGAGTCTTATCACCTCGGAATCAAACAGTAAGTAACTCATGTTGACAAGCCTAAACATAATTCTTGGAAAATTGCAAGTATGATAATCAAACTGCAGCAATCGCTTCGATCTCTACGTCCACATCATAAGGCAGTCCACCAGCTTGGATACATGTACGAGCCGGCTTAGGGTCCGGGAGAGCCTAAAAATATTGTCAATGAGCCAATCCCATTCAGAAGGAATGATTATGACGAGCCTTGATATACACCTCGTTCATAGCTGCGTAGTCGCCCATGCTCTTGAGGTAAATGTTCACTTTCACCACCTTGTCCCATGACGAACCAGCGGCATTCAATACGTCGGTCAAGTTAGAGAGGCATTGAGCCTGCAAAGTTCGGGTGTCAGGCAACACGTAACGGGTTCATCATGATGAACTTGCAGTGTGGGCTTTGATGTCTCCTGGGACCACGTTGCCTGTACTGTCCATAGGGGTTTGCCCGCTACAGAAGATAAGACCCGGGATCTTCACCGCATGCGCTGAGGCCCGTTGGTTAGTTTCATATCATCAACTCGTTCGGGCTCATACAGTACATAGGTACTAGCGGCCTTTCGGGGCTGTTGATTTTTTGAACAGACATGTTGAATATCAATGGCAAAAGGAAAACAGATTCAAGGGGATTGGAATAATGAACTTGATATCGAGCTACATAATATAGGGACAAGTGCTATCCCGAGTAAGTTGTTCAGGTGACCAGACATCTTATCTTAGACCGTTAGGTCCTACCTGGCATAAATATCGCCAAACCACATGAGCTGCAGGATGGTGTCACAAGATAGCGGAGGAGACACATTCGCACTTACGGAGTCCGTTTTTCCGAAGCACCGCCAACGATGTAAATCGCTGTATATCGTTGTCGCAAGATCTGGACCAATCATCCGAGGCTTGTGTACCTGTGCATACCATGACCTGGTGACCACTCTGAAGATATCCCACGCTCCTGGAGTGCAGGCTTGTCAGGCTCACCACCAGGATAAAGGCAATCAATGACTGGATTTAGACAGTACGAGAATCTACGGCAAGAAAAGAATTCTCTGAGAAAATGAAACTCGTCATGAGATGAACAAGAATCGGCGATCAACCTGCCTGTGCTTGTTATCTTTTCTCCGGAAGACTATGCACAGCATAAGTTTGGGAATACCAATCGAATCGGCCAATAGAGACCTGTAGCATACAAGCATCAATATCTTCAAACCGTCATCACTTTAGCATGGAATAAGTCGAGAAAAGGTCAGTCGAGTGGCGACCGCAGTCGGTAGAGATATTGCTCATTGATGTGCAGCCATTATCGCATCGGAGATAAATACCGCAGAGACCTGTTTGCCACCGAACCACCGAGCGTTCAGACCTTGTACAGCTTTCTTGGCGGATTCGATTGCGTCGAACTTGACGTAAATCTCACCCTGCAGTTACGTTCAAGAACTGAATCAAGAGCTAAATGCGAATAGAATGCAAACCTGTGTCTCCCTTTCGACTTTGATGGCCTCTACTCTGCCATATTTTTCTTCACACTCGCCTTTGACATCGTCGGCAAGCTCTTTATCCCAGTCACGTTCAGTTTCCCTATAGCACAATAAAGTTTGTTAGAAGAAAATCGATTGCTTGAATGTGAACTCACTCCTCTGGGTCAAACATATTCTTCAATAAGACAGAACGGGACTGCATAGCTTGTGGAATGTTCGGTTTGCTGCTGCAAATAAGTGTAAGATAAACCGTCGGTACAATTGAATTTTACATACACAAGCTGCGGCTTCGGAGCAGGCTCGATTCTAGCAAGTTTCTGCATTAGTGCTTGACGTGATGCCGCGTTCAAATTACCGCCTATAAAAGTATTAGTAAACAATTTGAAACGTTGATCAAAACGCACCGCCAGCTTCGTCCAACGAATCCTGCTGGGCGTATCGCACAGTGCCCTTTTCGTGGACTGTATTGACTCTCAGCTGTAGCTGAAATTGAATGACAATCTATGAGTTTGCGATTTGGAATGCCCTACCGTTCTACCAGCAAGCTCGAAACCTTCCATCTGTTCAAGAGCCATTCTGGCATCTTCGGCACGTTTATATCTGCTAAATTTAGCGGATGCTTAAAAGGCAAGACAACGTTCACTTACTGCACAAATGCGTAACCTTTGCTGCGCCCGGTCATAGGGTCCCTGTGCAAATCGACAAATTCCAATTCCCCGAAGGGTTCAAAGACCTGCTTGATATCGGATTCGGTAAGGTTGAAATGCAAGGAACCAACGTAAAGTCTGGAAAACAACACGTCACAACTTTGGAGCGAGTAGCTGAGGAGTTTGCTCACTGCATAGCTCCATGAGGCGCATGAACGCCAGGCGGAAGATTTAGGTTCCTCGATGAACTATTAGATAATAGAAACACGCCACACCTGCAAAACTCACCCGTCTCCTGGATGAAGCCTATTCCTTTCTGACTCAGTCAATTGAACCATGATAGGGAGACCCATTACGACTGTTCCGCTCAATGACATAGCTTTCTCTACCAAATCAATCGACCGGAACTCGACGTATCCAATACTACCAAAAGGCATGAGGATCTCAAGAACAATATCAGGAAGTGATGGAACACACCCTTTAGAGCGGCGCGACAGCCGGTCCGTGACAATCCTAGAATCCATTACTGTGCCTTCACCGAGTTTATCCTCGAAAAAGTACCCAAGGTCACGCGCCGTGAGACGAGCGGCAAGCTGAGAAACAAAGACCGACCGAGCTTCCGAATCGTCTTCTTTAGGTTCGTCAGGATTGTAGTCTTCTTGAGCCTCGTAAGTAGGTGAGGGTCGTCTGAATATTATGAGTAATAAGTCACAGTGATGCGAAAGTAGCGTACTTGATTGGCGGGGTACTCATCCTTAACGAGACCTTGTCTGGCTCCTCCTCGTTAATTGAAGTGTCATTGATGGAAGGACGTTTGTCGGGTGCAGGATCCCTTTCCCTCCGGAACCGAGGGGGGTCATCGAACTCGTCTCGTGGGTCACGATACCTACGTTCACGTGAGCGATCTCTACGGTCATGACCCCTTCGTGGACTGTCCTTGGGCGGAAGTCCAGCAGAAGACTCGTCCATGTCATCGTGTCTCTTCTTCTTCAAGCGTTCATCCGGGGGTTCATCAGTTTCATCCCTCTTGCGGCGCCTGTCACGGTCTCCCACATCACGTTCACGGCGATAAACGTCTCCCCGCTCTCGTCTATCGTCGTCACGATGACGCCTGTCTTTGTCTTTTTCACGATCGCGGTCCCTGTGGGACCTCTCGCGCGAGCGATCACGGTAATCTCGTTCACTTCCTCTGTCACGACTACGTCGTCGTTTGTCGTCATAATCTCTTTCTCTGCGCTTTTCACGACGGTCACGGTCTCGCTCATGCGACCCAGAACGAAGAGACCGCTTCGTGCGATGGGTATCAGTGGAATGGTTGCGAGACCTCATGAGGATATCTGTAGGTAAGTTGAAACAAAACAATGAGTGTGGACGACGCACGATTTTCGGTTGGGGGATATGTCTATATCCATATTGCTTGGTGGTGGATTTCGCTTGTGGTGGACAGTGTTTGAGTTGCTTGCAGTGATTTGGAACAAACATGCGAAAACTTCATGTGGCAACACAGCCACAAATTTAAATGTGATTTTTGGATAGACAGTGTATATACAAAGGACACGATACATGTAAGTACTTAAATGTGGTAGTACACAGGGCCAGGTGCTTGGCCGATGAAAATTGTCTATAAAAGCCCAGCCAACCTTGCTCTGACGCGCTTCTCAGCCTTGACGAGCTCCATCTCCTCTGATCGTTTATACAGCTCATTCAGGGGGTTCGTATCACCTTCCTTGTCGAGATCATCCTCAATTTGGCTGAAAGCCTCACAGAATTTGCCGCTCAATATCTGCACGGGAGGATTCAGCAGGGTTTGGAAATTAAAAAAGAAAAATCATGCCTGGTTGTACAGGATGTCCTTGAAGTGTTCCCGCATGGCTCCTCCTTCGAGCTTGAGTGAACCACTCAGTTGACCATACTGGGAGACAGTAGAGTGGTGCTTGAGCTATTGTTTTTTTTTACCGCGCATCAGTAACATATATCATTTTACTTCATACATATTTCTTACCTGTGCGACGAAACCATCATCTGCGGCTCGCTCGAAGATCTCTGCAGGTTCTTTCGACATCCACCTAGGAGTGGATTAATTCATTACAAATAAAGTCTGTGAGAGAAAACTCACATTTCGTAGCAAAGGGCCTCGTCCGAGCATCCAGCATCCTTTAGGACATTGAAAGCTTCCCTAACGGCAACTATGTCATTTACGGTGGCGTTTGAAAATTTGGTAGTATTCAAACCTGAACATCATAATAATGTTGGGCCAGAGAGCCTGTTCAGCGAAGAGATCCATTACAGTCTCTTCCCGCACTGACGAAGCAATAGCTCCCTGTTTGGTTGCACCAATGGCACGGGAAAGTGCAAGAGCTGCATCCAAGCCTTTGCCGGTTCCATTTTGCTCGACGGAAACAAAGCAAGGGAAACCACGGCCCTTCTCGTGGAGAGAGCGCACTGAAGAGCCAATCATCCTGTAAAAAAGCGACAGCCAGGGATTGTGTAACTCGACAAAATGGTACAGTTATCGACTTACCGTGGCGCAACCATAACAACATCCTGCCCTGGCTGGAATTTTAACAAGTTGAAGAAAACATTGTACCCGGAAGCAACAACAATGGTGGCATTACTCTTCAACTTAGGCGAGAATTGCTCATTGAACACGCGGGGTTGAACCTGGTCTGGTATCAGGATAAAAAGCACTAGGGATTCCTGCAATTAGTTAGAGTTGAACAGCACAAATTCATGCATACCATCTGCAACTTCAGCAGCTGTTGCAAAGTCGTGTTCGACGTGAAAGCCTTTGGCTTTCGCAGTCTCAGCATACGAATCTACCCGGTTGGCAATCAGGATTTGATCATTGGGGATACCACTATCGCGTAAGTTCTGCGCTTGTGCAGACCCCTGATTTCCAAAGCTAAGAAATGAAATGAACGGGGTCCGAATACACTAGCGGACTCAAGGACTTGCCCGAGGAACACAATCTTCTTGTTGCTCAGGACACCTAGGTCGGCGTCAGAGTCATAGTAGCTGTAAAATAAAGAACTTTTAAGATCCTCGTGACGTTTTAAGATAATCAGACACACATCTTGGCTTGTCCCATGATAAATTTAAGTCGGGAGGGGAGAGTGTGCTTGCAGAATACCCATTTCCCAGTATCATAGGTCCTTATAAACCCAAAGCGGGGAGCAGTAGCCGAATAACAGTCCCAATGGCCAGTCACGTTCCCAAATTTTAGATATCGAAAGGAGGTGTGATGAACTTGTGCAAAGGTCATGAGGAGCACAAGATGATAGAAGACCCAGTTCGCGGACCGGTCGACACCGTCTACCCGTACTTCATGGGGCCCGGAATTCCGGATGGCGCTGTATATAAAGAGATAAATTCTTTGAGTCGTTTGACTATGGCTTTGCTAGCGAACAAGATCGTGTGCATAACTGGATCGTCTCGAGGTATTGGCCGAGCATGCGCGGTCGAATCGGCCAAACATGGAGCAATTGGTTTAATATTGCATTACTTTGGAGACCAGGAAACCGAAGTGGAGCTTCAGTCTTTGAAAGAAGAAATATATGTGACGACTCACAATCACTGTCAAGTAGTCGGTGTGCCCGGTGATATCGCGAATTCGGAAACTTCACAAAAGGTGCGCTATTTAAATTATAAACGACCAACTGTTCGAGTTCTCACAATATCCGAAATAGATCGTCGAAGCAGGCGTCGAAGCGTTCGGACGAATCGGTAGGACTTGTAAAACAAGATATATCTTAACTAATGCTCAGACCAGATGTGCTCGTCAGTAATGCGGGAATTTGTCCATTCGCTGAGTTCTTGACGATGCCCCATGCTATATGGGAACGTACCCGACAAGTAAATTTGGATGGATCCTTTTACGTGGTGCAAGGTGTGTACCCTCGTGACTGTAACATTAATATGATTCTAAGGTGATATCGCGTTTCGTGCAGCGGTGGCAAATCAAATGAAGAGCCAGGTCCCCCAAGGCGGGTCTATCATCGGTCTGGCTTCCATTTCAGCGCTCGTGGGTGGTGGATTCCAATGGTTCGTATCTTGATACATCGATGAACGAGACTTAACCTTTTAAAATGCGTAGTCACTACACACCGACAAAGGCAGGTATCTTGTCGATGATGCAAAGTTGTGCTATCGCTCTTGGGAAGTATAACATACGCTGCAACGCTATACTTCCTGGCACGATTGCCACAGACATCAATAAAGAGGACCTTGCGAATGAAGAAAAGCGGGAGTATACGATCAAAAGGACTGTGCTTGGGAGACTTGGTGGTACGGTTCAGCTGAAAATATGGGTGCCCGCTGTTACTGAAGTTTGATCTAAATATAGCTCCCGACGACATAGCTGGGCCTATGGTGTTCCTTGCCAGCGATCTCGCAAAGTATGTCACCGGCGCGCAACTACTAGTGGACGGTGGCCTGTTTGTCAACCTTCAGTGATATATTTTCCCCTGGTGCAACAAAGGAGGAACGATCGTCTTCCTCGCATGGAGAGCTAGTATGTGCATACCAGACACTACTTATAATACTCAATCGATGCTCAGCCTTGAATGTTTCATGTCTGAGTAAGGAACACGTTCAGTAACCTGTTCAAACAATACTTTATGTGGACACCTACTTCAGTGATACAGATCTTTCGAATTTACTTGTCAATCTCCAAAAAACAATCCCAGCTCCTGTCCATTTACCACCGCTGGTTTCGCATCGATCAGAACGGTCGCCCACCGTGTCCATTCCGTCCCAGGGTTTCTCCAAGCGTGATTTGTCCCCTTCTGAATCACAACATCTCCTGCGTTCTTGAGGTGGGTTTCTTTTCCATCGTCTGTTATCAAAATGAGTTCCCCGTGGACTATCCATGATATACTTCAGTCAGGGTACGTCGTGCACGGCGAAGCGTATACGTACTCAGGATGTTATAGTCGATCGAGGGAGTCCGATGCTGTTCTTCTACTTCCATCAATTTCGTATGTATCAGACAACTCTACGCACCATCGGAGTACGAACTCCGGGACCAAGATCACTGTATATGAAGTTGGTCGTATTACTTGCAAATAATCCGAAGTCACCCACTTGACGGGCTCCGCCGTCCTCCCTATTGCGTGTGATTGAAAATACTGGGCTAGGATATTTCAAGTACACTACTCACGAACAATTGTTGTCATTCGTTGGCAGACCATCAGTAGACGCCCAGAATGTGCCCGTTCGATGACCATTCAAGCCTTCTATCATCACCTAGGTTTGAGACGATGATAAGTCATTCTCATGTCCTACTAGTATAGTAAACTTGGATAGAGTGCACACCGATGAATGAACTGTCCCGTCAACTGAAACCACGGCTTGTCCGTCGCCATCATGCGAAGTCACGATGCGACGAGGACCTGGGAGAACTGGAGATAGAGTACCAGACATGATGCTTTAAAGGAGGTAAGAAAGGTCGTAAAGCATTAACGATCTCGGTCTACCTAAGTACTTGCGAAACTTGCTGACTTGACGTAAATTACGGTAGTCTAGAAAACATGATAGAACTCCACGTTCGTCAGTACTAGTCAGTATTTGATCATCATGCATCATGATGTGGCCGATTAAAGGATGCGAATCGCGAATTTCCGCGTACTACGGTCCAGTTCAAATGGACCAAGCAATCGTGTACATCATGATGGCACTGAAAACGCTGACCAGTAAAGGACGGGAATCGCGGAACTCCGGGCACTACGGTCCCGATTAATAAATCTACATAGACACCTGATATCAGTATCCCCGATATCAGTAAGTGCATATATGAGTGATCTAGGTACGGCGCGAAGAAAACAGAAAACTCACCCTCAGTCGGATATAACGGACTGAGGGAAGAGTGAGACAGCGGGAAATCCAAATATATGTCTCTGTATAGTCGCATCAACACCGATAGGTTCGTGCAAGGTTACTGACAAGAGTTCGCTTGTTTCCTGAAAAGGTAAAGGCAAAACGCCAAGACACCAACACTACAGCAATGTTTAAGTGCATAGGTACAACATTGTACATGACATCGATAGCACGCTAGCATTTAAGGAGCAGTATCTGGCGCCAGTCACTGTCAGCGAGAGCAAGGATCCATCAAAAATACTCACAATAATAATATTCATCGACAAGAGGTATCCAATCCTTCACGAGAGAACTGAGGATTCCAAGTATTGGCGTATTAGCGGTCTTCTCCACAACAGCCTCAACCTTGGGTCTAAAAAGGTTCGTGATATTATGCTTCAGCAAAAGTGGCATAAAATGTACAAACCTCGAATACGTCTCCCATACAGAGCCACGCAGAAGGTACCAGAGAATATCCCTGTCCCTGCGGGCATATTCTTCACGTTCTAGATCTGCAGAATGTGATGGCATCCGCCTCAAACTACGAGAGATAAGTTCCATCGCAAAGGCAGTCACGAGAGCCTTGCCCTCGTGTTTCTTGGTGCTTAACATACTCGCTACAAGTAAGTCGTGAGCATGTCAGATCCCGGCCCGTGCTTTGCACTCACCATAAACCAAGGGGCGAATGATATAGATGCACTCGGAAACCCACTCCAAGGGTGATGACATAGGCTTCATCAGTAGCATAGAGGGCTTGACAGATGACGTTGTAAGAGCTTTAGGGAGGAGATAATCCTCCACTGATGTGTCAGCACGGGCAGGTGGTGCGGGGGTGAGCATTAAAGCATTTGGCTGTAAGGGAATGTGATTATTCTTCAGGTGATCCGGAGTAGGCGGGGAAGACGGAGATGGAGAAGTGGGTGCAAGCGTCGGAGAAGTGTGCGTAGAGCTAGGGGGCATCGATGCTGGATCAATGTCGCGTTCTGGAATTGGAGGAGACAAAAGTGGTCTTGTCGTGACTTTGAGTAACGTGAACCGTAGAATCATTCTTTAGAAGTAAATTCAGACGTGAGCTCAGGGTAGTTAGATCAACCTTGTAACTTACTTCACAGTTTCGAGGAACACAATACCTCTCCACCGGTTCTTGTCTGAGACTTTCCTCCGAAGTAACATTTCAACAAGAAGTTGAGTAAAGCGAATAAGCTCTAAAGATCGAGCAGCCCATTTGTATAATGTGACCTTGTCTGACCAGGCGCGGGTATAGCGCGTGTGCAAGGGGGTGGGAAGGATAGGCTTCCAATGAGGGTCACTCTGCACAACTCTGGCCAGAAGGGTATCATGATACATGCTGGATACATGGAGTATCGCAGACACTAAGACCGCACGTTATTGCTTGAACCAAACAAAGAATTATAGCAATGTTAATACTGACGACCCTCCGAAGCAAGATCGGCGTCTTTGAACCGTCCAGGTAGAAACCATGTTACAGACCTCAGCGAGGATTCGAGGGTAGAGATGGTAGAGACGTTTTTCACGAGAAAATTTTCATATTTTTTCAACGTTGACGACATGTATAGAGGTCCAGTGTGTATACCGCGAGCTGGAGGTGTGTTGGACCTGGGAAGACTATTACCGCCGCTCTGGCCAACCGGGTATGTAATCAGATGTAATCCCACGTGTTTTACGTACGTTGCCGCCGATACCTTCTGCACGGTCAATACGACTCCAAGTGGGAGTAGGGAAATGGTGCAAATATCATATTCACAATGGTAGCAGTAACATGCTCTCAAGGGTATATATAGAGCGGTAATACATGAGGTTTGATGTTAACGCTGCATGGACCAGGAATCATTTTGTAACTCATATAGCTTGCAAGAACATACCAATATTATAGGACAGTAAGTAGTGACACTGAAGTTCACCGGTTTAACCCAAAGCCCCTGGTCTTTGTCGCACCGCTTCCTGTTACCGTGTTTACTCCACCCGCTTCTCGCACGCGCCTCTCCACCTCATTTACCTTGCCCTCGACTTCGCGCACAGCCCCATCGATCCACTGCAGGCTATCCAAATGGCTGCTCAAGATCTGAGATATCTGCATCATGGGATCATCGTTGCCAACTGTCCCTTGTGACCCATTCGGTATTAGAGATAGCGCATTGACCGAATCAATCATCTGTGTCAACGATCCAGATAAATCATCCAGATGAGCATGCAGCTCTGTTGCCAGCATATAACTGATGGGGAACGGAAGTCAAAATCGTGCAGTCTCGACCCGAAGTAATATTAGGACTCACTTTTTATCCCGCTCAGTGTCAGCAGGTCCAGTATCGAGCGCCCTCAAAGTACCGCTTTCTCCAAAAAGTTCTTCAGCAGATCGCTCGTACGCATCCAGCGTCGCGGAGAGATCCTTCTGCTGTTGCTCGATATGGTCAAGAGCTTGATCGATGTCATTTTGTTCTCGTTCTACAGTCTGGACATGGGTAAACAGAGTAGCCAGCTGTATCATATATTGTCAGACGACGGATTCGATAAATGCGGAGCAAACATACGTTGTTACCATTTTCCATCAAGGCCCGATCCCATACAGCGACTTCGCCAGCGAACTTGTTGAACTCCCGGACATGCACTTCCAATTCAGATGACCACTTGTTTACTATTTCCTCGATGGTTTTCCCCCTGAGTGCCGATGGTGGAGGCACTACTACTGAAGTGGCGGTAGCGGTGGTTGCTAACAGTAGGAATGAATGGATGGAGGATCATTTTATCGGAAACTGCTCATACCATCTTTTGGCTTTTCAGATTCCTTAGACAGCCCAAGGGTTGATTGCCCTTGTAGTGTGGCTGGGGGAAATGAGGTCGTAGACAGGGTTTGCCAATAAGACATACTTACTTGTCGTGGCGGTGGTTGTGGATTTACCACCAAACAAGTTGGTCACAGGCGCTGTGTGACTGCTGAGGACAGACCTAATTCATCTGTAAAACGTGATCTCACCTGCAGGGGCTGTGGTTGCAGAAGAGGCGTTCTTTGCACCAAACAAATTGACTGGTGGTGTTGACGCTGCGCAATATCCGTCAGATGGGTCATATATACTAAACGCAGATAACTCACATGTAGGGGTAGTAGCTGCCGCGGTTGCAGGCTTCAGGCCGAAGAGACCGGTCGCAGGTACTATACAAAGGAGCATCTTTGATGAGCAAAACGATGGAGGCATTCAAAAGAACATACATGTGCTGGCATCTTTCTTGTCTGACGAAGTATCCTTGTTTCCAAAGAGGTTGAACGTCGGAGGAGTAGTGGACTGCATTTCTTTGCCAACGTCCAAAAACACAACTTGGGGACAATTATCGGTTCTTCCGAAAACGTCGATTTTGCAAACAAATCCAAACAATTGCGACGCGCTCTTGAGGAGTGTTTCACAACGTCAGACAGTGCTCCAGACACACCGTAGACGCGTTGTGGGCGGTGCCATCAGCGCTTGAACAACCCCTCGTAATTATTCGAACCAAGATTCATTCATCAACACAGCAGGCTCAATGATACTAATAGTAAGTACTATCGACACGTACTTAATACTCAAACTTGAATGCTTCGCGACGACACTTCATCATTCCCTGACAACTCGAGGCTATCGTGCGCTTGCCGGATGAGTAATGTGCCCCTCTTCTGTGACAGGAGCGGAAAAGGGACATGCCCATTTTATTCACCTAATTCCTCAAGTGAAAACCACGAACTTCCCGGCGTTGAACGTTCTTTCATCGCAACTCTGAATTGTTGAACAACCACTGCAGTGACTAGAAAGAATTTCGCGGACTGAATTTGGTCTACGGTACATCGGACAGGGATCCCCATGAAGGGTCCACGTTTCGGTTCTGCACAGCAGCTTACCCTCGAATCAATGACGAATCCGCATGTTTCATAGCCTTGAATACTTATTACACACAGCTACACATACATACGATTGATTATATATATGCATAATGACCGGTCTGACCCGTTGGACAATTCATTTATGTAAAAAATTCTCAGAAGTGTGTACAAAGCTTGTCAACAAACAGGTACATTCAACAAGCAACCGATTGAACAATGAGAATCTCGCTTGAGTCATATGCATAATATTCCCTTTATAATAAAGTCTCTCTCCGTTCCGCTTTCCTGACTCTGATGCGCAGAGATTCAACTGCCAGCACTGCTACACTCCCTCCGTTGGAATACCTTCATGCCAGTCCAATCAGAGGTCAACTAGAGCCTTCAGATGAGGCTACAAAAAAAACCGGATGGCGTTTTCTCCAGTGCACAGACACTCCAAATGAGCTCAAGGTGGGGATAACAACTTTCTCTTTTGATAACTCTCAATCAGGCGTACTGCAGGTGCTTTTACCTCCCCGCACTGCTCAGCTATACGCTCGCCTGCTCAAAGCAGAGAAATCTGAGCTCGCTAAAAAGCTCGATGCATCTTGGGACCGTATCCTTGAAATACGGCACCTCAAGGATAGGATGATTAGAAAGTGCCAGAGGCTAGCTCATTCTTATTCCGCCAGCAGGCCTTCTGCGAAGGTTCCCTTCTTGTCCATCCATGCGCCACTAGATTTCAGATTAAAAGAGATGGAGAAGTGGATCCGCCTGCACGGTGAGCCTGATGAATCTAAGAAGGTGCCCGTGGGCGACTCCATCCGCCCACGCAATTCATTCTGCTGTGATCGCTGCACAAATATGGTTCCTCATCAACACACCATATCTCGTCGTCCATCCACCCAGTCTACCCATTCCCGTCGCTCAGCAGCACACTCTGATCATTCCACATCAAAAGCTCTCCCGACATCTCCCCGACGCGCTCGCTCCTCCAAGGCGAGTTCTGTACAAAGCGATCACAAACCTTCTCCCGTTGCGAGCTCCATCATCCTAAACGAGAGTCATTCGCATCATCAAAATCAGTCATACGAAAGCAGGGTCCACGAAAGTATACATCAGGAGGCCATGGATACCCAAGTACACGCGACTTTCACCGCACATGAGAGCAGGTTCGATGATCACAGTAGTACTCAGGAGAGCAGAGTTCGAGACAGCAGCAATATCCGCACGCGGCAACACAAGCACTCCAGGAGTATGTCGTATGATGCACGAAGATTTGCCGAGACGGGTCTTCATGAAATCACGCGCGCTATGCACGTCATTCCTGAAGCATCAGAAGTCGGTACCGATCCCAGCAACTGCTCAGCAGCAATGTCGGCCAGCAAATTATCGATCATTTCGCCTGAACCATTGCCTCATCCGTACCATGGTTCCACTTCAGCAGTTTTCTTGAACATGGTCGAGAGTCCCGTAGCCGCTCCTCAGATGCAGAACATTGAGCCTGGCTGTGTTCACCTCGTAGAAGATGAGGGAGTAAGCACACCTCCTTCCGAAGACGAACCTACCAGCGACTCCCCTCCTCAACCAAATACGCTTCGTAGACGCAGTAGCCTCAAACGCAGCAACAATGACTTGCGCCTGAGTATGGCGTTCTCCGCTAAGACCGTATCTTGGGCGATGGACCGCGACTGGGCCGACCAGGTTTCGAAGTATAACGCTGCGGCGGGTGAAATCGAGCATGCTGGTAGGTTTATTTCCCATATCCAGTGGCGTTGGAGGTTCACCAGTCTATCCGTGAGACCGAGAATGGGATGCCATTTGTGCGACGTATCATGAAGAACTTGCTGGCATGAAGACTCTACGTCGAAATGTCACGCAGACCCTGACCAGGTTGCGCTTGGAGGCTGAGAAGCTACAACGCGAGGACGAGGTGATCCGGGATCAAGAGGACAAACTGCGAGAAGGATATAAGCAGCTCGAGCAGAAACATGGACAGTATCGAGAAAAGGGTGAGTATTCGTCCTCATGTTTGCAGCCTGTCGAGAGACCCTGATATTGACTATAATTATCATCGGTTAGTTAAAGCCGTTCTAGAAGAGACCGAACAGGTTCTTACATTGTGTGGCACCAAACGAGATTCTTAAAGTCAATGATTCGTTCGATATCGGAAAGTGCTTGAAGCTTGCACATCTATATTGCTTTCCATTACAATGTACACAAAATTTACATACCCATATTTTGACTGCTGTAAACCACATAACGATATTGATGTTTTAGATTAGGTTCAACACCGGTTTATAGGGTCATGAAGGCATTAACAGCAAATATCATGATGAAGAATCCCTATGAAAGCCTTGATCGAGTACGTTTCGCTTGATTCCACCAGCGCCGCACGGTAGCGAGAAAAACAGTCACAATGCTAAGCAAAAAAAGTATGACCATGACGAAATAATTGTAAGGGCCCGGAGGATGAATGCTATTCTTCGGAATCTTGATGTTTTGTGAAAATAACCCTATGGAAAAGTAAAAGCCAATGATGACGCTAGAGGACAGCTGATAACATACCGATCGGAATTTGAAGGCACAAAATCCCAATGCTAATGAGAGACAACACCAAAATGGCCTTGTCAGTGTATCCTTTGTTCATAGCGAGACGAGTTTGTAGTTGAGTCAGATATGCAGGGTGAGAATCGCTGAGCATGTGCTCATAGTGGTGAAGGGATTGCTGCAAAGTCAATATATGATCTACAAAACAGCTCAGTTGCATCGCGAACGGTCGAGACAGCTCTTTACCTTGGACATCCCCCATGTACATTGCGATTTCAAGGTCGACGTTCCCCTGAGGGGATGTTGTTTGTCGTCCACCGATCAGAAAGCGTTTGCGAATTTGCGATATGACCTCCGACTTTGTAGCAAGAAGACGGGTCAAGGAAGTAACAAGTCTTCTCGCCCTGGCCATGCGCAGTAATGTGTTTGTTGTCGTCGCTTGTGTTTTGGCCTTACGGGTCGTTGCAAAAGTATTCCGCAGATTTTGAAGGCTGCACTTTAAACGTCGGAAGAATAGTGGCTGGGTGAATCGAGGAAAGTAGCTGGGAGGTGTTTCTCCCATTTCTTTCGAAGGGATAACTGATAGTTTTTCGATGTTGGAATCACATTGGTCATCCGTAGGTATATGAATGAGATCAACAAGAGTGTTTGTCGACGAAGTATGAGAGACGTCGTTGCTCGAAAATACGAGAGCTTCTACAGCTAGAACTTGTTGCTCGATCTCATTGAGGAATGGAAAGAATGAATCCACAACAGAGTCCAATACGCCATGAGCAATCCAGTCTTGGAAGTACGTCAGTGTGAACAACATGCAATTCATACAATAGTTACCTGATGACATATTGAAGGAGTCCTGGAGAAGTTGAAGTCTATTCCTAACTTTCTCTATGTGTTCTGGACAAGGTTAAGCATCGAGTCTTTCTACTAATATACAGGCCTACCTGAGACATCGGCGAAATAAAACTAAACGTCGTTGAGCATGGTCTTCACAAGCCCAATGTAAAATGCGAACCTACCGTGCAAATACCTTCCTTGAATACCACCACGTATATGTTAGCCTCTCTTAAAGCACCGTTGTCAGCCTTGTAAACATCATCACCCAGCTGCGTGACGGCTGCATTCTGTATAGTTCGAAACGAGATAAAATAATAACCCAGTCTTGAGAAGAGCTCCATTTTTTCGCGCGGATCTTGTTGGAGAATATCCTCAAGTGTAAGAGGATGAATATGTAGGAGCTACTCATTACATCAGCATGGCATGCTGACAACACGAATGCACCTACCTTGCCAATTGCTTGTAAGTCGTCCCAAGTGGGACTGGCGACGTCAAGCCACCAGGCTTTGGGAGCTCGATTGAGCTCGAGCGAGCCTCTGGGAGCTGATTCGTTGGGCGTACGATTCCCTGAGGAGAATTCTTTCTGTTTCCCTTGAACGGAAGACAGCAAGGCGGAGGAGAGGTCACTGAAAGACGCAGGTCGCTCGAGCACACCATTAGACATATAATCATGATGCGGGAAAAGCGGAGGTGTGCCAAGGCTGAATTGACGTTGTTTCCCTTTGCCCTTTTTTGCCCTTGACGCCTTCTTCAATGCAGCCTCCAAACGGTTGAGGACATCAGGTAGAGAGATAGACTTCTGAGGTCGATCCAAAGATTCCGACAACCGGGTCATAGTGATCTCGGGATTCAAACCAGGTGGCAGGTATAGGGTGAACCCTCTATCAACACGTCTAATTTCCTGTCTGACCCTAAGACGAGCAGCTACCTCACGTTCGGAATGTGTGGAACGCATGTTAGCGAAGCTTGTTGGTCTCTTGCGCCGACGACTATGGCGATGGCGAGAAGGCGTGTAGATAGAAGAGTGGAAAGATGTAGAACTATGGGATGATGAAGAAGTTGAAGCTGATGAACTTCTCCTTCGAGCCCAACGGGTGATTGCATTCTCTAATACAGCAGCAAGAGCTCCCAAGCGACCCGCGATGAAGGACCCGGATGATGTCAATGATGAAGTAGATGATGCAGGTGCCACCGACTCCGCAATGATAGGTAGGGCAGAGGGCACCTTGCCGCGATAGATGTCGTCCTCTGAAAGCATGTCTTTAAATGTATTTTGTGCTTCAAGGGAAGAGACGAAAGGATGCCCAAAGAATAAGAACTGTTCAAGACATCCGAGTAGTGGACTAGCACTAAAACAAAATATTCCTGCCTCCAACAAGCAGTAAGCACAGCTCTAAGAGCCGAACGCCGCATAATTAGTACAAAGCTCCGACCTCATTTACTTGCAACCATAACATGGTACATGCACCGCGCGCGCGTTGAGTGAAATAGAAAAACATGGTATATGTATAATAAGATTAACGTAATTCGAATCCATGAAGTAGCAGTAACAAAGACTAGCTATTCATAACTGCGCTAAGGGGCCCAACATGTGCCGGAGGCTTCCGAACAGAGATGTATGTGTATGATCATTCGTAGTCTGAGATGTTGTAACTTGTGTCTCAGAGATGTAACGATCCGAGTGTGTTCCCACACGGTCTGCCTGCCTGGCCGAGCCGAAGGTCCAAGAGACTAATCGCGTGTGCACCACTCCGTTTACCTGGTGGTTCAAATCGTGTTTCCCTTCAATATATGACCATTTCTTCTGTAGCTCTTCCTCCAGAGGTAGCAAGTTGCAAAGAATAGCGTGATTGAATGAAATTGAATGTTTCTGTCGGAGAACAGAGGGGTGGATTGTTTCGTGCGTGATGTCATCCGTGACTATTGGAAGTTTTCTGACATTTGCCTCCGATAATACGAATATACCGGTGCGTGAACTGCAATAATCATATGAGCGTGGTTCTGAATGAACATTATGATATACCTGTCGACTTACTCGTGTGGGGGCTGCTCTCCCCAAGGCGCCACTGGATCCGATAGCGATGAGATGTATGCAGTATCAATGGACAACATGTCACCAATATTGGCCTGCATAGTGAGCGACGTATTCAGAAGCAATCGCACCATAGACTCAGACACTCACCACCATCCACGCAAGAGTTATGTCAGATAAGTCATGTTTTTGCCAGCCACCTCCGATCTATTGGTTTAGACAATCAGCAGATGGTTGAGATAATGAATGTTCATCGCTTACGTCTGAATGTTCACCTATGATGTACATATGTTCATCGATGAGATATGCACAAGAATTGTCACGGTATTGTCCCAAATCTTACCAGAAAACCAGCACTGTGAAGAACTATGAGTAAAAATCTACAAGCCAATCAAAATACAATCACCTGTTTCAAAATCTGCCCTTTCCGTCGTCCGCCGTCCGTTTGCACGAATTTGCAGCAGTCCTAGAATAGATGATGAACGAAATTCCGTGGGTCAGTATTCGAACTTACGAAGTCTAGTCTGGTTTCGTTGATAGCAAGCGCATGATATGCACGTTCAATATGTTCCCCAAGTTCGTTGTTGGGAAAGCCAAAAATAGATTTTGTGGAAGGCGACTTATGCGTCAACTCTTCAGGTAGACCGACCGAACCGACAGTATCAAAAACACCGACACACCTGAAGACGCATCTCAGTCATTGTTGCTGCCGTGGATCAACCGATGAAGCTCACTTTATGGAGAAAGAGTTATTATCAGAGTGAGCTCTTCTCTTGCCCGGGGAATCGGGGGAGGTCCAGTGGCTCAACGATGCGTCAAGCTTTTCGATCTCTGAAGTGCAATCAGAATTACCGGAATAATGAAAGTCAACGTGACAAACCTTTTTGGTCAGTCTCTTTGCCAAGTTTTTGGTATGCAATAAATATACTGGCAAAGCTATCCATGTCGGTGCGGTCTAGGACACCGATAGCACCCTAAATGAAGGTTTGTTTCTGAGACGAGCGTCGACAACAGAGGTCTACTTACGATAAACATGGCTACCATCCGTGCGGTATATGCACCCTAATAAAAACGTCAGTAATAGTGAATTTCATGCTAGTATAACATTGCATACCCTAGAGAAGCCAAAGAGGAATATCTTAGATGACGATGTTAGTCTGAAATGAAGAAGTCGACCGAAACAGGCTAATCTCTTACTTCATCACCGGGGTGGTAGTTTCTGCAAAGAGATGTCTAAGCCGTAGCTAAGTATGTATTCGGCAAGACTTACTGGGCAATGAACGCATAAGCCTCTTGGACCTTTTCACCTGTATACAGTCATAAATCCTTGCCAAAATCCGCGAGCGAGATATATTCTTACCGAGGGATCCTCCTGTCGCACCTGATCCAAAGGAAGATCGTTAGCTCCATACTACTAATGAACTCATCCCACGAACCATCGACATATTCAGAGTAGATATTATGCCCAGTTCCAACGCCACACTGGTAGTAGACGACCTGCGGGATCAGAACTCCCCTGTCGACGCATATGAATGACGAAATAAGGACATGGCACAGATGAGCTTACGATCGTTCATCCACATGTTCCAATCCCCGCGATAGTTTCTGAAAAGCAAATATGTGTTAAATTCCCAAATGCGTACAATCGACGCACCAGGATATTGGTTTGCTGCCAACCCTCCTTCACGATCAATCCGTCTTGCCAGGTTCTAGAAGAACACCAGCGTCAGATAGCGGTAGCGCCCAAGATTTCATAACCGGCTTACCCATCGCAGCACACAATGATTCTTTTCTTAAATTTAGCGCCGACTTGGAAGGGTTCACTTGAGGCCCTTGGTAGTTGTGCAACGTCGAGCTCGACTCTGGCGGTGATCATGACTCAGTCCAGGGGAAAGTTGAGGTGCAAACAAGAATGATGCGGGAGTATTTATGCTGTATTCCTTCTCGCGGCCAATATTAGTATAGCCATGATCAAGCCATATGAGCACGCTGATATCATAAACACAGGACTTGCCATATCAATTTTAATTGGTGAAACCGATGTGAAAATGTTGCTAAGGCTGAGCGAGCGCTGGATTCTCAGCGCGGCTCGACTTGGGATCTGATGCCGATTTGGTTTCTAGTTTCAGGTATTTGGTTTCACGTTTGATAGCCGCTTGCCACGGGGAAATGCTAGTACCTGTAAGAGATTAGTAGCAAGGTCGTAATAATCACGAAGACTGCTAATCGACCCTAGGCCTGTAGGCTCAAATTCGAGAGTCACACAGCAACGGCGGCCCGAGATTGGTGGGTGGCCATGTGTTAGATCATTACTAAGTACTATTGATAAATTATCACACACCGCTTCAGTCCGGCCTTTGAAGAGAACCGCTCTCAATCTCTAATTAGAATGAATAATAATTTAAAGTATCCTCTAATAGCTCGGAAGTCGGTACCAACATGCTTGTGCCTTTGCTAGGATGCTCAAAATTTAATGTACATGCTGTACCCAGTCAGGCGATGAACGTCCGAATGCCGGACATAGTAGTCAGGGCATGTACAACCAAAAGAGGCTACTGTCAGGATGAAATTACCTCCCCAATCGAAACTGAGCGCCGGCGTACTCGTCTAAGGCACGACAGAACGCTTCCTCAGTGATTAAGCTTGCCATTGGATTGTTTGGAGCGACGTCATGAGCAATAGTCCGGCTGTGTCATGCCAAGTGTCAATCTGACACAGCAATACGTCAATCCGCAACTTACTGGATTTCTGTTAACGCCATCTGCCATGGAGGGAAACCGTGTAGTTCGAGAGGAGGCGGGGGGTCCTGCAGATGGACATCATGGACAATCATGAAGTCCGGTGATGGTAGACCTCCTAGTATAGAAGTCAGATGGGTGAAATTCAACACAGAGTGAACCTTCCTTCTAATATCGAGTTCAATTCAGAGATGGGAAGTTCGTATGCCTTGACGTGGTCCAGGTCCTGACTGTTCTGGCGCCTGCAAACTTCTTCATCTGAAAGGAAGCGTGCAGCAGATGCAATGGCAGCCTTTGAAGCACTGCGTGAAATTATATGGAGTGTCAAAGGATTATGAGAGTGCTTGTCTGTAAATGACATGTTAATAGTCCTTTTGACTGCAGAGCAATCCACCTACGGTGCGCTCGTCGGCGAACGGCAACTTCTCTTGGCCTATGATGCGAAGCGCCTTTCCTGAAGGAACATACTGTTGTAACGTTGAGTTGTACGGGAAAATCTCCCAAGTCGGGCGAATGGCTTCTTGAATCTGAGGCCTCGGATAGTGGAGGGGTCAACGGATACTCGACTTCTGATTCACTCTCGTCGGTGGGCAGATCATCATGATGTGTTAGGCGTTCCTTGACAATGTCAGAGCACCCCAACAGTGTACCTGAGGATCGTTCGATGTGAGCAATAACAATAACATCCCAACAAAATGTTTACCCTCAGCATCATATGCGGTAAGCTGCTCTATACCTAACGCTTTGCACCATTTAACAACCCTAACTAAGCACTCCAAATACAGTTCTTCCGTGTGCTTTGGATTCGCCGCGTCATGGGAGACCAGAATGATTGCCAAGTGTTTTGGTAGCTTGCTGCGGTACGCGGTTAAGGATTGAGGAGGTAAATATCGGCGTTTTCGAAACTTAGTTGTCAGAAACACTAGCGAGGCATGCACAAAATGCAGGAGCCAGAGAAAGAGGGAAGCCACCATTTAGCCAGCATGGACCAAAAGTTAGATCGTCGCAGTCTTGCACAACGACGATGCATACGTTGCAACAACAGGATCACGTGATACATTGCGATATGATGAGCGCTGAGCGTTACTATTAGGCATTGTCTTTCCGTAACCACCATGCTCCCCGTCAAAGAAATACAAGAACGATCTGATCGTCACCCCAAGCCTTCGGATATCAAGTTTCAGTATGGGACTGCAGGTTTCAGAACACTGTACGTTTGCGTCTGATATTGGCATTCATCGATCTGACAGTAGCGACTAGGGGGAAGACCCTCGATTCAGTGCTTTTCAGAGTGGGTGTTCTCGCAGCCCTTCGAAGCAAGAAACTGGATGGAAAGACTATTGGTGTAATGGTGACTGCCTCACACAATCCGGAGCCTGTATGTACTTCATATGTGCACTGATCGCCTTGAGTTCAACGGTACACCCCTTTATAGGACAACGGAGTCAAACTCGTTGACCCACGCGGCGAGATGCTTGAGTCGTCATGGGAGGCACACGCTACCGCACTCGCAAACGCGCCCAGCAGTGCTGCTTTCGTTGCTGCGGTCGACGAACTGGTGAGAGCGACCAAAATAGACCTTTCAATTCCCGCCCGTGTAGTGTATGCCAGAGACACACGCCCGACAGGCCCGAAACTTGTTGCCGCCCTTAAGGATGGGTTGGAAGCGATCAAGGCAGAGTATAGGGACGCTGGCGTTACCACAACGCCAGTACTCCACTACTTAGTGAGGACAATCAACACCAAAGGCACTAAAGATTCGTACGGCGAGGATACTGAGGAAGGATATCTTACGAAAATAAGCGATGCCTTCAAAAAGCTGCTTGTGGGTGTTGCATATATGCGCATATATGACGTTCATTTCCGGTACAGGCTGGAAAACCGACGCCGCCGCCGTTACTCATCGACTGTGCGAACGGCGTTGGTGCCTTGATGGCTGAGAGATTCAAAGCATATCTCGGAGGTATCTTTACGATCAATGTCGTGAACACCGACCTGCATACCCCTGGCGTACTGAACAACTCCTGTGGCGCGGACTTCGTCAAAGTCAATCAGAAGCTACCTCCTTCCATCACTCTGCAGCCAGGACAACGAGCTTGCAGTTTAGATGGAGATGCCGATCGCCTTATGTACTACTACGCAGATGAACATGGCGAGTTCCATATGCTCGACGGAGACAAGATTACGACACTTGTGGCGAGTTATATCGTTGAGCTGGTGAAGGCCTCGGGATTGGATGAGCAGATCAAAGTCGGCGTCATCCAGACGGCATATGCCAACGGAAGCTCGACAAAGTACCTTTCCGGGGTAAGTGGGACGATGAATATAGTATGGTTGGAAATCTAATTCTGCAATCTCAGAGACTTCCTGTCAAGTGTGTTCCCACGGGTGTGAAACACTTACATCATGCTGCAGAACAGTACGACGTTGGGGTCTATTTCGAGGCCAACGGGCACGGCACGGTCTTATTTTCGCCCGCTGCTCAGGAATTGATTTCCAGCCACACACCTTCCTCAGCGCTCACAAACCTGAGGAACATCATCGATGTGATTAACCAAACAGTTGGTGATGCTCTTTCAGATGCATTCCTAGTGGAAGCAGTTCTAGCACACAAATCTTTTAGCGGTGTGGAGTGGGACTCCATGTATTGTGACCTCCCGAACCGTCTTGTAAAAGTTGTCGTGAGTGATCGGAACGCGTTCAAGACGGAGGATGCGGAGAGACGCCTAGTCAGCCCTCCCGGACTGCAGGTCAAGGTCGACGGGCTTGTGCGTAAGTACGGAGGAGGTCGCTCGTTCGTGAGACCGAGTGGTACGGAGGATGTAGTCAGGGTTTATGCTGAAGCAGCAACACGCGCTGAAGCTGATGGTGACGCTGCTTCCTTCTGTTTGTTGATCACGCACTCATGGTCTTTTTCTCGCTTAGAACTTGCGTTTCGTGTCGCCGGTCTTGTGTATGATGAAGCAGGTGGTGACCCATCACAGAGACCAAAAGAATTTCTTTGAATTCACAGTCACGTTTAGATTTGGACATTAGTACCCGATGTGTACTCTGTAGTAATAGGAATGGAGGAATAGAAATAAGCTACTTGCCGACGTGGGCTCATGCGGGCTGCTCCAGCACTCAGAGTACAGGTATGATCAGGCACCTTCTGCTGGCATCAAGTCGACGACTATCTGATTTAGTTGTCTGATCAAAGTGTGATCATACTTTTGAGCGTATTTGTATTAAGATTGATCAATTGTAGCAAGTCGTTCACATGCGATAAGACGTAATCTGGAGCAAATCTCAAGTCATCATCACGTATTTTATACACCAGCTGTTGCACTCAGTGCGGCTGGAGTGACATGATTCCAGTTTTGCTACGTGTCCATCTAGTACATTTTCACTCTATAACAGTTACTTTTACAATCAAATAAAACCCTTTCCCCCTGGACCGACTTCACACTCGCGCATGTGCCGCTTCGTGATTTACAAGGGCACATCACCTGTGCAACTGTCTCACGTTAGTAGCTAATTCGAAGCTGATTGCTGCAAAAAAGACACTGACCTTCCCACTCTTAGCTCTTAACTCGACCGTGCCATTCCATTATAAACCAGGCCTTTGATTCACGCCTACGTCTCGACCATCGTCGGCCGATAAACGGTGACGGCTTTGGCGTCGGTGAGTCGCTTTCTGAATCATTTCAAGACAACTTTGGGACTTAAAGGTTCAGGCTGGTATGATTCCATCCACGACGAGGAACTTGGCAGCCAACCTTGTATATTTACTTCCGTTTCACCGGTACGCGTGTCCTGTCACCAGAGTCGCACCATCAACTGACTGATCTTTTGCATATCAGGCATGGAATAACGCAAACTTAATCCGATTAGCAGAGAAGATTAAATCGCCGCTTGTCTTGTGAGTCGCTGGAGTCGCCTGCCGCTCCGGTAAATTGTACTGAACAAGTATTGTGTTAGTGGGCACGTCCGTGCGACTACCACTGGTTCTTTGTCTTTAGACAACTGCCACCCATTCACATATGGAAAACTTATGGTATGTCATGACGTGTATGGCCGTATGATTGCCCTTGCTGACTTTCTCGTTATGTAGTTCATGCATAACGGCGGAATTGCAGGCTTTCATCTGATTAAGAGACGACTGCAGGCCGATCTCTCGGACGATGTCTTTAATATAGTACAAGGGAACACAGGTGAATGGAATATTCATGAGAAATGATGAATCATAACCATTTCTCATAGACTCTGAGTGCGCTTTTGCGCTACTGCTATCCAAGGTATGTTCCTTGGTACCTTCATTGTTTTTCATCTAAATATTGTTGTGCATGCGCAGCTTCCCGACCCAAAGGCTAAGAGTTTTACCACTCGCAGCTTGCAGCAGGCAATGTTGGATACCATTGCAACTTTAAATTTGTATGCCGAGCAAGCCGGTATCACTGAGGTGGATTGAAGTTGATTTTCCTGTGCAGCATTGCTGAGAGTCGATTAGCCAAGCTTGATGAACTTTTGTGTCACAGATGGCGAAAGTGTCATTGCAACGCGTTACATTTCCTCTCGGCACGATGAAGCCGCATCGTTGGTAGGGTTTATCGCTGTATCATATGGCAATGGGTTCTGATCGCATTAAATAACAGTGGTTCTCATCTGGGACGACATTCAGTGAGTATGCCCAAGGCGGTCATTACAGGATGGCGAAAGCTGATAAAAGAGAAAACATTATCATGGTGGAACTCTTCTAATCTGGTCATCCATTCTCATTCCTGATCGCTCCAATTGCAGATTGCCAGTGAGCCGCTTACTTTCGAAAAAGCGGACTGGATGGAGATTCGCACGAACAACATGGTCGTGATCACACCCAAAATGAACCTCCTGCAGATTCCCATCGTCGACAAATTCTATGTATCTCCTTCTGACCCAGCGGCGCTTAACCGTGACACTGACTTTGCCGCGGCCAAGGGCTTCCTCAGCCCACGTATAGCCTTGGCTCCGGTCCAACCTCGCGAAAACGCCCCCCAGTTGTCCATTTGATATTTTTCCTTGCGATACCTTCACCGTATTTCATCTATGCATCGCTGTCTTTGTTGTGTTCCATTGCTATTAGGATCTGTACCGTAGATAAGTAATGTCGATTAATCGTTGTAGACCTTTGTGTTGGTGTGTGTAGCTGTGAATATTGTTGACGCGTTTTTTTCCTTCAAGTGTGGCTTTGTGCAACGCAGCGGCTCGTCAAGAGTAATATTGCCACGATGCGGTTCAGAACTGGTTCGAGGTGTAGCATGTCTGACAACCCGAACACGAACCTGTTCACGATATCTCAAGGCCATCGAAATCGAATATTAGCCAACGGTCCGGTCAAGAACCGGTCCTAACTGGTCAAGTTAGAAAAGCAACTGAGTTGCCATGGCACATTGATCTGTCTTGTCTGCTGTCTGCATTCTGATAAGCACGCGCCACAGCAGGTACAGACGAGATGCCATGTGCTGTAGAGGTGTGGCTGGCGGCTGCTACCAGTACAGCTTGATATGTGAATATGTGACACACAGCACCTCCTCCCGGATCTTAAGTTTACGCGGAAGACCGTGCCAAGCTGAATTTACATGGACCAACAAAGATAAAGCTGAGGAAGCCATTGACATCAGATGGCATGCGTGGAAAGAGCGAAGCAGTAGACACAATGTTCATGTCGTGCGCACAAGTAATTCCATGAAAGACCTCGGAGTGCACAGGATCAGAGGATTGGAACAAGTATGTCGTATGAGCGCTAGCTGTGCATGTGAGGGGCCAACCGTGGGAGTCCACGGCCTGCGAATACATATCACGATCACGGACGTGGCAAACTGGTCTTACTACAAGACCGAGGCTAAGCCTTTAAGACGGGGTAACCATCAAAGGGTGGACAGCGGATGCGCTGCAATATCACATCAACAGATAGAGTGCACAGGAAGAAACTTAATGGCAAGGGCAGGCCATACTAGAATACAAAAACAATTGAGCGAGTCATATAACAATCCGGAGGGGGGCAGCGAAGAACCTCAGCAACCTCATCTGCATACACACAGATCAAGCGGGCAGACAGGAGAGGCAAAATGGGTGCGAGGAGGTGATTTGCAATAGTCTGTTTAGTGTGACCGAGCCAAGCCGACAGCGGCCGCGTTTCGAGTACGAGAAATGAACTGGAGTAGAAGCACACAATAGCGATATCCGGACGCCTGAAACTCGCGCCGAGAGTTAGATATGATATGGAAGATAGTGAATGTGCATCAAATGCAACACAACCACGGAACAAGGGTGACAGGAACGGTGATGGGAGGCGAGCGATTTAAATAGCCATGCACAGAGATTACTGGGGGATCTCAAAGTGATATTGGGGGTAATAGAGTGCATCATAGTATATCCATGTCAAGTGTGGTGCGCAGTCGAGCTCCACACTTAGCTGATGCGTTGTCGGATGTTTCACGAACGCAAGGTGTCCAGTGTCCACAGTACCACAGCTGATTCGTGGGAACGAGTCTACAGAACCACAGCTGCTACCTCCAGCTTATTGTAACATTCTGTTTGATACGACTAGTACTCATTTCAGTTTCCTGCTTCCTTATTCCATGACATTCTGTACCCTACAGTATATAAGCTAGCATATATCCACTGGTAGGGCAGTTGATTCTTTTTCCCCCGAGTAACACGCTGAGTTCCAACTGTTAGTTCTGTCCGCTTGATTCTAGGACAACTTCTCGTGCGAACCGTCGAGCGTTTATCCAAACGCCACACTTTTGGCAGCGCTTTCCTTGCCTGTAGTTGCGCTACAGACCAACTTCTCCTTTCTCATTCACTTACGTGTTTTTTAAATCCTTCAACATAATGAACCCATGGCTACTTTGGAGCGCCTTGTCGCATACCGCTAGGTCTTCGATTCGGTGTCATTCAACACTTCCTGAGCATCTGACTATAGCCTTAAATTCAGGTTGTCGACGGCCTTACAGATCTTGCTTTTCTTGCCATTGACGCTAGCGACCCTTTCAACGCAAGCTTTTCTCTTGCTTTCGCTTCTGCTCTCCATCCACTCCCTCATTCATGGAACTCTCATATTACTCTGGGGATCCAACGCCCTCTCCATCATGCAAGTGCCAATGCATCCCTTTCTCCTTCTCGTCACTTTCAATGCCTTCTCGCAATCTGCACAACCTTGGCTTGCCACTGCAGTCTACTGGTGGGGAAAACTCCTCACGTTCTGCGGTCCTTCCTACGTGGCCATGGAGGGTCTTTCAAGTCTACTGTTCGCGCAGAAAGCGGGCCAAATAGGCAGAGGTATTGCGGATGAGGCAGAAAGTTACCAATTCGTGATTCTCATCCTAACAGCAGCTGCATTCGTTGCAGCTGCGTGGTGGGTCGTCATCGTGCGCGCTGCTTCGTGTCTTCCTGAATCGCGTCACGTACTAAGTTTTATACAGGCATACCCTGCAGCTGCCGCATCTCCTTTGTCGTCCACGTTGCTGGGTGTAGCATTGACAGCATTCCTGTTCCTCGTTCTTATCGGTTTCCGGTTACGACGCACCAACGTTGTCGAGGCCTCTCTTCTCGCACTCTTTCTTGCATATAACGTGTGGCTCTGCGGGTTTGATCAAACATCGTTCTCCGACCCTGCTTCCTCCTAGTATGTTCTACTGCAGTCTCATCTACTCATGCTTACTGACGGTTCCCCAGTGCCCCTCTGCTTTCAAATATCCTTCCACATCTACAGACACTTGTAAACTTCATCACGAATACCCTCCCCAAGCCTGTACTCGTTGCGCTACTCTATCGTCTTTCAATATTGCAAGTTGCATCGCGTATTTTACCTACGATCGGTGCTGACAACTGGGAGTCGGACCAAGGAGAGATTGATGGACGACCGGTACAAGCACATGCTCTGTGGTTTCCTCCTGCTGATGGTTATTTATGCTAGACCTCGATTATGACACGCATCCTTCTAACATATAGACAGTTAATCTTTATCATGGTATACTCGCACCTTCTTCGTATGTGTTTTCTGTTTGTGCGACTTTTCAGAAATCGACTGATATCCTGTTCAGTTCTAGATCCCTCTTCACAAGTCTGGTGGCGGTGGGCGAACATCATGTTTACTCTGTTCCTGTGGGCTGTGGAACTTGTGGTTAGCCCTGATGGGGACGATGATTCGGCAAAGTGGAAGATCGATTAGTTCTGTTGTCCGACATCCGGAGAACCGAAGCCCTATGCCGTACTTAGACCATCCTCAGCATCACGCCAATTTAGCTGCTATTCGCCTTCCACTCTGCTTCGTCCTCTTTTTCGCCCTCGTAGTACTCCCTCTTCCATATCTGTACTCTCTGCTTGACTTCCTCGAGGATCTGTTCACACGCAACGAATGCCTCCTTCCGATGCGGTGAAGATACCGCTATCACGATCGAGGGTTCTCCTACCGGCACCGTCCCCAGCCGATGGTGCACAGCGCAGGAAATGATACAGGGCACTGCTGCGGGCGTTGAATAGTGGGTGGAGCGTGTGGCTGATTGATGTGCTGTTCGGATGATGTCTGTCATGGTTTTGATAGCTAATTTGCTGTACGCCTGGTATTCTAGACGTGTCACGACCTTTCCTGTCCGTAGCAGGTAGTGAATATTAAGACATGTGATGACTCTGGTGCAAGGTTATACCTTGATATGAATTTCGAGTCGTGCCGATGAAGAGTGCTGTTGCCCCTGCACCATCATCGCTGACTGATTTTATGATTTCATCAATCTCTAATGACTTGTATGTGAGCACGCATACGCTCCTGCCCACTTCTTCTCTCGCTTCCACTGAGGTGCTTGGATAGGAAGTTGTCATCTGATACTATCTGTATGAACACGAAAACTAAGATAACGAGCATACGTACAGGACGATATTAACGGAAGGATTGACTCACGTGAAACCGATATTAATACTACTTTTGTACCGGCCCATCCTGCAAGTCAGTGCAAGAACGATCGAGGAGTTGTCGAGCCCCAATATTTTCAACCACCAGCTCGTTGACCTCCAAGGCTCCAATGCTTCAAGCTTCCTTCCGGAGAATCTTTACCAACCAACGTCTCATTTCACTAAGGAAGGCGTCGAGTCTATCTGCTGCTCGGGGGCGTCGAGCTCCCATAGATGTTCATCCTGAGGTAGAGGATGCATTGGCTACTGGAAAGCCTGTAGTCGCCCTCGAATCGACCATCATTACTCATGGAATGCCATATCCGACTTCATTGGAGATGGCTCAATCAGTCGAGAGGATAGTCAGGTCCACAGGGAGTATACCAGCCACCATTGCTGTTATTGGAGGACGCATCAAGATTGGACTTCACCCAGCAGAACTGGAACGTCTTGCAGACCAACACTCAAACCCAACCGCCGTGAAGTTGTCCAGGCGGGATATTGCGGCTGCAATTGCTCTGAAGAAGGATGGCGGGACTACGTGTTGTTCCACCCTCATCTTTGCTGCACTGGCTGGTATCAAGGTGCGCATGGCGCAAATGTATTTGCACGTCGATATGACAGTTGTTCTAGGTCTTTGCCACTGGAGGGTAGGTCAGAGAATGTTGACTTTGAATTCTTGTATTCTGAGGCGGTATTCTTAGGCTCGGTGGAGTGCATCGCGGCGGGGAGAATAGTAGGTCACACTGAGTGTTTATGGGACTTCTGATGATCTTACCCTGTGTCTTAGCAATGGACGTCTCAGCTGATCTACATGAACTCACGCGTTGTCCAGTTGGGCTGGTTTCAGCTGGAGTGAAATCCATTTTAGATATAAGGCGGTATGACTTTGTAATCATCTCTATCGCTTGTCACTGAACTGATGAAATAGAACCCTCGAGTATCTGGTGTGGCTGCTAGAAATGTTCGAAGGATTTATCTCTAATTCGTTCACACAGGAAACGCTTGGTGTACCAGTAGTATCTTACGCAGAAACGCACGATTTCCCGGCTTTCTACAGTGGTCGAAGCGGTTTTGAGGTGCGAGTGCAACAAGTGTCGGTGTTTTGGCTCACTAGTTTCACAGTCACCTTGGAGGATAAATGATCCTAGAACAGCCGCTCAGATTCTACGTAAGAAATGCTGGCACATGACTTAGTACGGCGGACTCATCGATATTTACAGATACTCATTGGCAACTGGGCATGTCTAATGGTGCCCTGTTTGCTGTCCCTATCCCTGCTGAATATGAGGCCGTGGGATCAGCCCTTCAAGAGGCAGTCGAACAAGCTGTTCGCGAATCAGAAGAACAAAATATCAGTAACCTGGGGAAGGCCGTCACTCCTTGGCTTCTTAACAGGGTTGGCGAGTTAACACAAGGAAAATCACTTGCTAGCAGTCAGTATTGAACCTTCCTAGGCGTTACTCACTGCTCAACTTTGACCTCAGACATAGCCCTTGTCGAGAATACTGCGCTCGTCGGTAAGAAATTGATAAAAGAGGTTTTTCCAAACTGTTGACATTTCGAGCACAGGAGGTCAAATTGCAGTAGAATACGCGAAAATTGCTGGAGACAGACATGACCAGGATGTGAGGTGATCTATCAGCCATTAGACATAGCAAGTGATGTTTGTTCCTCTTAGCAATGTTATCCTGTGACAGGAATACGAGGAAAACCGGATGAGCCTCACAGTGCATCCGATGTCGCCTCATCAGGAACTACTGATGATCTCAAAGGGCAACCACTACCGAACGCTTCGTTGGTCGTAGTTGGTTGTGCTGCAGTAGATATTACATCACAACCTCTTACAGATTCGGACCTTGGACACCAGTCAACATTTCCTGGGAAGGTTTCCATGTCACTTGGAGGTGTTGGCCGCAATATTGCTGAGGCTGCTCACCGAGTTCTTTCGTCACATAGTGACGAGTCCTCGGCCGCAACTTTGCTAGTATCTTTAGTCGGCGATGATTCTTTCGGGAGACTGTTAAACGAGGAGACACGAATGCTAGGGATGAGAACAGATGGTCTTATTCCCGTGCGGGGAGGTAGGTCGTCCGTGTGCAGCCTACTTCTGGAGAGATCGGGAGGATTAAGGGCAGGCGTGGCTGACATGGATCTCGTTCGGAATATGGATGGACATGTGGTCAGTTTTGTCCTATAACCACTCATAACAGGCTTGATGAGTTTCTTGCCAGGCACGTGAATTTATATTGGCACACAAACCAAAACTACTTGCAGTGGATGGGAACTTATCACCTGATACACTGAAGGTAGTAGTGAGCGAATGTCTTCGAAATGGGGTTGATGGTAAGTTTCTTCGTTGATATAAGTTGGGGGAAGTGTGGCTAAAATTTGTGTTTGCTAGTTTTTTTGTTCGTCCACATTCATGTTACTATCGAAGGAGCTGCTAATAACACTTCAAAATTTAGCGAACCAACTTCTGTCATCAAGTCAGCTTCGATTCTTCCCGCTATAGCCGGTAATCTCGACCAGCTTGCATGGTCACCCATTACTTTTGCATCTCCTAATCTGCTCGAGCTCGCTCATCTGTATCAACAAGCACAACTTCTGAACCTCACTTCACATGACCGATGGTGGCAGGTTCTGGACAGCCTCGGACTTGGTTCGAAGTTCCGCACAGACCTCGATCTGCTTTCTCGAAAAGAAGCATCAAGTCACGATACTTCACGAGGAAACCTAGCCTTCCTTGTTGAAAAGGGTGTTGCCCAAATGGCAATCAATCTCCTACCGTTCTTTCGGCACCTCGTCATCAAGTGCGGTGACTTGGGAGTTGTTGTCGTAATGCGTTTCACGGGAGATGATGCGGCTGATTCACCGTGGTCGACGGAGTCGACTAATCATCATAGGCGCTATGTGGTATCCCACTCGCCTACGTCGGGCGATACTGTGGTTTTGCAGCATTTTCCTGCAATGCAACTCCCAAACAATGCATTGGTCAACACAACAGGTGCAGGAGATTCGTTGGTTGGAGCTTTGCTGGCCGCATTGGTGCAGTCTCCGAAGGCGTTCCACTCCACAATAAGCCTACAACGTACGATAGACATCGCTCAGCATGCAGCCCTGCTGAGTTTGCAGAGCCCGCTTGCTGTTTCGCCACTGCTATCATCCTTGCACGGAGAGCTTTCCCATCAATGATAATAATGACACCGTTTCTAGCGTGCCTCATGGACCATGGACCACCAACGGTCCTACCTGAACTGTCTCCCGCTCCTTCCTTCGTCTCTCCTTCTCTGCTAGTTGGGAGGCTTTCTTCGTTTCCCTCGCTTTCTTCTCATAATAAGCCTTCTCAAGAGTATAAGCACAAGCTGAAATATACATATGGACTATACCTTGGCTCCATGTTTCAAACGAGTGATAATGTTGGCTGCCTCGCCCTTGGTTATGTTCTGCAAGGTTGCGGCGGCAGCATCTTGATCTAGCGCACGTTTTACACGTCGTTGATGGATGAAGTTCTTTTGGTTATCGGATGCAGACGCTTTCCGCCATTTTGCAGTCCGCAGTAGCCTTTCTGCACGTCAGAAATGTTATGACTCGTGTATAAACGGAGGTCTACCCCAGTGCCAATGATCCACGAAGGATTTTTTGCGCTGCATAAGTGTCGCAGCCTCGGATTGCATCCCTGAGTGTCTCCGCAGTCATGATCAACCTTTTCCGCATGAATGGCGATACTTTAAATGCCTTCGCAGATGGTATGTGCATCGTTGCCTCGGTAAATGTGGCACGATAGTGTGTCGGGTTTTCTGGATGGTACATTGAGACGAAGGAGTACAGCAGAACTTGTCGGACTGACCCTTATCAGCAGAAACGCGCTCAACACGGATATATCCCTTGCCCAGGCACTCCAAGATGTAGATGTCTTCGCCACATCCTACCCATGCATTGGCGCTGAGCTTTGTGACGTGAGGGGCACCTGAGCAACCATCGACTAGTGCGAACGGGTTCTGGTAATCGACATATGTTATATATTTTGGATCGGGGATATCGTCTCGGCTGTCAACTGGCACCTGCTCTTTCTGAAGGCTGGAACTCTGAGCACGAGCCTCCAATGTCTCAACGGACTCATCTATGTATGATATTAGCCCTACTTTCATGAAACAGAAATGCACCTTGCCGTCGATAAGTTCCTCGGGATCAAGGCCGAATAGCGTTGGAGTCGAGACCACGCCAGCTACCCGGTTTGTAGAGTCGACAAAGTCAATTATGTGGCAGTTCTCTTTGCCTGTC